GGGCTAAAATTGGGAATTTAGAATGTTGTTATTGTCACCCTGTTATAATGTACAGTGGGGGAAAAAAGTATTTAGTCAGTCACCAATTGTGCAAGTTCTCCCACTTAAAAAGATGAGAGAGGCCTGTAATTTTCATCATAGGTACACGTCAACTATGACAGACAAAATGAGAAAAAAATATCCAGAAACTCACATTGTAGGATTTTTAATGAATTTATTTGCAAATTATGGTGGAAAATAAGTATTTGGTCAATAACAAACGTTTCTCAATACTTTGTTATATACCCTTTGTTGGCAATGACACAGGTCAAACGTTTTATGTAAGTCTTCACAAGGTTTTCACACACTGTTGCTGGTATTTTGGCCCATTCCTCCATGCAGATCTCCTCTAGAGCAGTGATGTTTTGGGGCTGTCGCTGGGCAACACGGACTTTCAACTCCCTCCAAAGATTTTCTATGGGGTTGAGATCTGGAGACTGGCTAGGCCACTCCAGGACCTTGAAATGCTTCTTACGAAGCCACTCCTTCGTTGCCCGGGCGGTGTGTTTGGGATCATTGTCATGCTGAAAGACCCAGCCACGTTTCATCTTCAATGCCCTTGCTGATGGAAGGAGGTTTTCACTCAAAATCTCACGATACATGGCCCCATTCATTCTTTCCTTTACACGGATCAGTCGTCCTGGTCCCTTTGCAGAAAAATAGCCCCAAAGCATGATGTTTCCACCCCCATGCTTCACAGTAGGTATGGTGTTCTTTGGATGCAACTCAGCATTCTTTGTCCTCCAAACACGACAAGTTGAGTTTTTACCAAAAAGTTCTATTTTGGTTTCATCTGACCATATGACATTCTCCCAATCCTCTTCTGGATCATCCAAATGCACTCTAGCAAACTTCAGACGGGCCTGGACATGTACTGGCTTAAGCAGGGGGACACGTCTGGCACTGCAGGATTTGAGTCCCTGGCGGCGTAGTGTGTTACTGATGGTAGGCTTTGTTACTTTGGTCCCAGCTCTCTGCAGGTCATTCACTAGGTCCCCCCGTGTGGTTCTGGGATTTTTGCTCACCGTTCTTGTGATCATTTTGACCCCACGGGTGAGATCTTGCGTGGAGCCCCAGATCGAGGGAGATTATCAGTGGTCTTGTATGTCTTCCATTTCCTAATAATTGCTCCCACAGTTGATTTCTTCAAACCAAGCTGCTTACCTATTGCAGATTCAGTCTTCCCAGCCTGGTGCAGGTCTACAATTTTGTTTCTGGTGTCCTTTGACAGCTCTTTGGTCTTGGCCATAGTGGAGTTTGGAGTGTGACTGTTTGAGGTTGTGGACAGGTGTCTTTTATACTGATAATAAGTTCAAACAGGTGCCATTAATACAGGTAACGAGTGGAGGACAGAGGAGCCTCTTAAAGAAGAAGTTACAGGTCTGTGAGAGCCAGAAATCTTGCTTGTTTGTAGGTGACCAAATACTTATTTTCCACCATAATTTGCTAATAAATTCATTAAAAATCCATACAATGTGATTTTCTGGAAAAAAAATTCTCAATTTGTCTGTCATAGTTGACGTGTACCTATGGTGAAAATTACAGGCCTCTCTCATCTTTTTAAGTGGGAGAACTTGCACAATTGGTGGCTGACTAAATACTTTTTTTCCCCACTGTATGATGATGTCATATTATTGAGTCTGCCTTTAAATTCACTATAATTTTTTAAATAACATAAATGTAAAGGATTTGACATGTTCAAACATTCAAACGATTTTGTTTATCGTAATAAACAGCTCAACATCAGACAAAAGCTTCATTCAAATGGACTTGGATCTATTCCTACAGGGATCAGGAATGAGGGGGAGGTGAGTGGCGCTGAAGATCACAGCTTACAGTACAGGTTGAGAGACAGATACTATGACCAACAAAAGTCACTGAGTATACCAAACATTAGGAACGCCTTCCTAATATTGAGTTGTAACCCCCCCCCCCCCCCCCTTTGCCCTCAGAACAGCCATTCTTTATACACACGGGAAACTGTTGAGTGTGAAAAACCCAGCAGCATTGCAGTTCTTGACACAAACCATTGCGCCTGGCACCTACTACCATGCCCCATTCAAACGCACTTACATTTTTTGTCTTGCCCATTTACCCTCTGAATGGCACACATACACAATCCATGTCTCAATTGTCTAAAGGGTTAAATATTCTTCTTTAATCTGTCTCCTCCGCTTCATCTGCACTGATTGATGTGGATTTATCAAGCGACATCAATAAGGGATCATAACTTTCATCTGGATTCACCTGGTCAGTCTATGTCATGGAAAGAGAAGGTGTTCCTAATGTTTTGTACACTCAGTGTATATCCCCAGTATATACACAATGATGCTGTAGTTAGATCAAAAATCCTCAAAAATCCCTTTATTGGCACACATTGCTTAAACACTCCCACCCACACACAAGTATGCAAGCATGCTGCACGGACAAACACAAACACACACTGCTTATCTTTCTTGCTTAACACAAGTGAGTGACACACTAATTATAAATAGTAGCAAGAAAGATGTTGACAACAAAGTATCCTCTATTGTTGTGTATCTCATCTCTGCCAGGGAGTGAAGTCTACCTTCCGGGAATTCCTCAACAGAAGAGAAAGACTTGACCCACTGGGCACAGATGTCAGTCAGTTCAACGTCTAGTTTTGATTTACATTTGGTTGAGTTATCAACTGTCCTGAATTCAACGTGAAGAAAAAAAATGTCACCATGTCATTGGATTTAGGTGAGTGTGTTTTTAAGATATTTGGAATCAATGTATTGTTTTCTTATAGTACATACTGGCATGGCATATAGCAGACGGTCTTTTGAGCGCCTTGCAGTATGTTCCGCGTAGAATCATCATCAATCAACTCTCCATCGTCCACAGCGTGTAAACAACACAACATCACATTGTGGCTGACCGCACAGCCTGCGGGGTTGCGTGCGTGTCGAGGAATCACACTACAGATGATACACGGACGATTACTAGCGTGTGTGTGTGTGTGTGTGTGTGTGTGTGTGTGTGTGTGTGTTTGTGTGGGGTGGGGGGGATTGGATGCCTGCGCTGAGAAAGCATCTGAATTCCTCCAGCGTGAAGCTCTCACATCCACTCAGAGCCTGTTACGCTCAGCCGCGTTAACCTGCTACCCAGGGGAGACGCTGACACGCAAAGCAACGAAGAAAACAACATTCTCACCTACTGTATCTAAACAAACACACTCCGTTTGCATTATATCCCCATATTTTCAAATCTGCTCTCGGTAACCGTTTGTCATCGAGCTGAAGTCTGTGGCTGCCTGTAGCCTATCTCAGCATCGCTTCAGCGTCCGTTTTTTCTGCACAGGACAGGACTGGGAGAGAGCGAGACATGGAAAAGGGGAAAGCTCCGCCATCTCTCTATTCCTCCATCCCCTTACCTGAACCCAGCGTCTCATCTCGCTCTCCCTTTTTTCGAGGTCAACAACAACCACAGAATCATCACCTTATTTCTCTCTTACCTTCCGGCATGTTTTCGGCAGCCATTTCCCCTCCGCACGCCTCATCCTCCTCCTCCTCCTCCTCGCGACCTGGGGGGGACCACGCGCGTGCACGGCGAGGACAACTCAAGGAGGGGGGCGGGGCGCAGGGGGCGAGCCCGCTCAACACAGCTACTCTATTGGTTAGAGGCGTGATGATTGACAGCGGGGCTCCTCGGCAATGCCTCGTGAACTCGCGGGCTCTGTATGAGTCCATCATTCCAGTTTTGTATCTAGCTAACTCTGTCCCCGCCCCCAATCTCTCTCTCTCTCTCTCTCTCTCTCTCATATCTGCTCGCTCTTCTCTCTCTCTCTCTCTCTCATCTCTCTCTCCTCTCTCTCTCTTCTCTCTCTCTCTCTCTCTCCTCTCCTCCTCTCTCTCTCTCCCCTCTCTCTCTCTCTGCCAAGCGTACACCAATCTCCTCCATCAGGACCATCTGCTCAGAGCTCTCTGATAGCCTCTCTATGTTGCAGGTCGTTTGTAACTGCTTCACATCTTACGAGGCTAACTCAATCATAAGTATTTCTGCAAACAACATGCATCGAAGTTTCTTCCTTTTTAGTGGTCTAGGCTAAGTCTGGGTACCAGTATTTTTAGCTAACATTCCACTCCTTGCCACTCCTGTCATTTGGGAAATGGCTGAACAGAGAAGGCAACCAGGCTAGTCTAGGCCTATTTCACTAAAACGGTTAAATCAGGAATAAAGCTGAATCATAATGAATTTTCATATTTCGAGACACATGATGCTCATTCTATTCAAGCCGGTCTATGCAAGGGCCTAATAGGTTTAACCTTGCGTCTTACTCAGCTCTTTCTGCAAGATAGTTGTATTAGCCTATGAACTATCAACGAATCAGGAGCCAATTCATGAATAAATAACCTGTCCAATTAAAAAACAGATTAATGAACATACGTCATTGTTTTGGTTCACCTAGGCCTACAAGGGTAATTGGTTTAAATATTTCCATGCCAGGGGCCAAAGCTGAATTGCTAGGCTTAAACTGTCATCATTAACGGCAGCCGTTACTGGTAACGATCACCCATGCCCTGCAGCACTCACTGCCATCAGACACAGTGCGGCAACGCGACCTTTATACGTCGCCTAAAGGTGTGTCATAGAATCATAAAGGAAAATATAAAACGTTCCCACAAGGCAACCACTAAATGCAAATCACGGAAGGAACGGGAAGAAGCCTGGCTCTAACTAGTAGCCTAGGTAACCCTATATAGGTAGAGCTGCTGTGGACTCTTTGTATGTAAATGCCTCTGTCAAAGGGTTTATGACTACATTCTATCACTACATAGGCAACGTTAGAAGTTTCAGGACCATGGACAGCACACACACTTTCACCTTGATATACTTGCATTTCAATGACATGATGTCTGCAGCCCGCCTGGCCACACAGCGGCGCTAGTGCAGACACGTATGGGAGGGGAAGGAGGCGGAGCCGATACAGCGCAAAGATGGCGGCGGCCTTAGACGATGAATTAGAGTTGGATAACCAAGACTATTATTCTCTTCTCAACGTCAGGAAAGAGGTAAGGCTTTAGTGTATTTACATAATGTGCTCGTTTAAACTTTTTATCCAACTGTATGGATAATGTTAAACACCGATTCGATTGGGCATCCCGTTTGGCGAGACAGCTGATGACATTCGCCCGGTAGGTCCATCACTCCCATCACATCGACTCGAGGGATGCTGCAAGACAGACATAGCTGTCAGACGTAGCTACCTGTCAATACTGTTTCTTAAGACGACAACAACAAAGGCAGAAGTCGAATAATATTATTAGTTAACTGTTTTGTTCGCTGAATTGATCAGCTGTGACACTCACTGTTTAGTAGCCCACATTTCCAATGCGATTAACTGCATTTAGCTAGACAGGATAAACAGGGCCAACGGGCATTGGCTCTCATTTACTGATTTGTCACTGCTGGTGTGGCATGGTTCTTCGGAGGTGTATATGTCCCCTGGTGCACAGATAAATAATGTTCTTTATAGGCCTACGTGTCTTATTAAGCAAGTTTCAAGTTTTAGTGTCACATGCAGTGAAATGCCTTTCTTGCAAACTCAAAACCCAACAATGCAATAATCAATAACAATGTATTACTAGAAAAAAACACAAGAAATAAGAATAGGAAATATGAAATACACAATAAAGTAAGTAAGTAAGCATACTATATACAGGAAATATTTACATGTGCAGGGATACTGGAGTGATGGAGGTAGATATGTATAGGGGTAAGGGGACTAGGCAACAGGATATAAGATAAACAGAGTAGCAGCAACTTGTATGTGAGTGGGTGTGCAGGTGTGGAGAGTCAGTATAAATGTATGTGCATATTATGTGTGAGTGAACAAATGATAGAGTGAGTGTTTATGTGTGTTTTGGAATGACAGTGTGTGTAGGGACCTGTGAGTGTGCATAGAGACAGTGCAAAGATTGAAATGAAATGTCAATAAAGATACAAGGTCAACTCAGATAGTCCGTGTAGCTCTTTTGTTAGCTATTTATCAGTCCTACTGCTTGGCAATAAAAGCTGTTCAAGAGCCTGCTGGTGCCAGACTTGATGCACCGGTACCTCTTGCCGTGCGGCAGCAGAGAAAATAGTCTATGGCTTGGGTGGTTGGAGTATGCATGCATTAGGCTATGTCTGCAGAAATCTATATTGTAATCTTTCTCTCTCTGCCCCCCCCCCCTCCCCCTTCTCCCCAGGCCACTCAGGATGAGCTGAAGGCCTCCTATAGGAGGTTATGTATGCTCTACCACCCAGACAGGCACAGAGACCCAGAGCTGAAGAGCCAGGCAGAACAGCTATTTAACCAGGTGCACCAGGCCTATGAGGGTAAGGAATGCATTCCCTGTCACTGATTCTTCTTGACAAGCTGCTTGTCATTTAATTGGACTGTTAAAGTATAAACCTCTATCTCTCTCTTTCACTCCCTTGTCTCTGTCCAGTGCTGAGTGATCCTCAGTCCAGGGCCATCTATGACATCTTTGGGAAGAAAGGCCTGGAGGTGGAGGGATGGGAGGTATGTTCAGCATATGTGTGTGTCAGGGTTTTTGTTAGTAATATTTGGTATTTTGGTATTTTATTAGGATCCCCAAAAGCAGCAGCTACTCCTCCTGGGGTCCACACAAAACATGAAACATGACATAATACAGAACATTAATAGACAAGAACAGCTCAAGGACAGAACTACATCCAATTTTTTTAAAGGCACACGTAGCCTAGATATCAATACATACACACAAACAATCTAGGTCAAATAGGAGAGAGGTGTTGTGCCATGAGGTGTTGCTTTATCTGTTTTTTGGAACCAGGTTTGCTGTTCATTTGAGCAATATGAGATAAAACTGAGTTCCATGCAATAATGGCTCTATATAATACTGTACGCTTTCTTGAATTTGTTTTGGATTTGGGGACTGTGAAAAGACTCCTGGTGGCATGTTTGGTGGGGTAAGTGTGTGTGTCAGAGGTGTGTGTTAGTCACAATTTGGGATTTTCAACACATTAATGTTTCTTATAAAAAGAAGCCGGCTTTTGTCCACCCCCCCCCCCCAATTTTTTTTTTTTTATGTAAATACCAGTCGATGTAAATACATTTGACCGGTCATGCTTATCGGTCTATAGGTTAATTTACATAATTTAGTGGAAATGAATTGCGCGTGTGTATTTTCAATAGAGGTTATGATTCTTATTTATCACACGCACACAGTGTACAGATACAGAGCCTAGTTTGAGCTGAACATCTGTCAGACAGAGCAAGAGCTGCTGCTACAGGTCCTGTTGCTGCTGGAGTGAAATGTGCTCTTATAAGCCCAATCATTTTTCAACAATTCTAAATGCAATCGCGTGTTAAACAGTTTTGATGGACACGATTAAAAATAGCTTCAATTTTTATTTCTCAACTGGTAATTCAAGTGCGCTTCCCATTCACCTTTCAAGTGTTTAGGCAACGGCAGGCAGGCTTCAGCGTGTCACACACCACTTTGCAATGTGAGCTGGAGGCAGTATGTATTTTGAAAACATATACTTAATTGTATGCCACATTTTATAAAGACTTCCATATGCCATTTGAAACGAGTAGCCTATTTCTCTCATGTTTTATTGGTTTTCAAACAATTAGTGTTACATTTTTCTTTCACAATCCTAGTCATATTAGCAACCCATGCTAGTTGTTGCATCTTTAGATCTCCAATCTTTCTAAATTTGGATATTTTCATCTCTGTAACATGAAACTGCTCGCATGTGCAGTGCGCTATTGACAACAGTGTTTTCCCGTTAATTGCATTATGGAACGAACATTCGCGAGAAGCCTACTGCCGTCTACGCACTGCTGCAAAACTATAATGTGAACAAATAATGGTTGATCAACATTTTAAACTAAACGTTCTAATGCTTTTTAAAGTTATTTTGATGGACTGGTTGTATGAATTTGGGATTTGTCGTCCCACAACTGTCCCAGAGTCTGTTTGGAATAGGCTATTTAATTCTCGCACAGAACGACAAGCTGACCAATAGAATAGGTAACATTTTCTACTAAGGGGGATAGTAGATTGACATAGGCAAGTGATTTTGCTGTTCCTTTCTTATCTTGTTGGCTGAGGAAAAGTAAATGTGGACAGTTGTTCTAACATATTCAAAGTGCGCATCGGAATTTGGTAAGAAGGACACACACCATTGCATCCTCGGAGTTGCATGTTCTGTTTAGATGAATTGCCATAATCTAAATGTGATTTCTGTCATTCTGAGCACCATGGGTGGACACCATAATCGGGTTACGCACCCAATGCATATGGGTCAAAATGTCTGCCGGTCAAATGTCCGGCGCCACATTTTCCTAATGGAAACCCTGTTGTGTGTGTGTGTGTGTGTGTGTGTGTGTGTGTGTGTGTGTGTACTTAAGTAGTAATGACACAATAGTAACTGAGATGATAACTGAGGAGCGTTTGTGTGCGTGTGTGCGTGTGTTCATGTGTGTGGAGATTGTGGAGAGGAAGAGGACCCCATTAGAGATCCGTGAGGAGTATGAGCGGCTGCAGAGAGAGAGGGAGGAGAGGAGGCTACAGCAGAGGACCAACCCCAAGGTACACATACAAATACTTCTTCCCTGAGCCTCTTACAGAAATATCCACGGCAGGGTAATATCTACAGACTTTCTCTGTGTGAAGTGTACTATCAGAACGATGTGTTTGTGTTCTCATGTCTCTCTGTGTGTTCAGGGTACCATCAGTGTGGGAGTAGATGCCACAGACCTGTTTGATCGTTATGAGGAGGACTTTGAGGAAATGCCTGGAGGAGGATTCCCTCACATCGAGATCAACAGGATGCACATCTCCCAGTCTATAGAGGTATACACACACACACGCACGCCCGTACGCGTGGTCCGATTCCTTGTTGGTCACACACATACACAGACACACACACACTAGCTAAAAAATGTCCGTTGTGATACATTAACGTGTGTTATGCTTATGTGTTTCCCTTGTGTTTACCTGTGTATGTGGGCGTGTGTGTAGGCTCCGTTGACTAACTCTGACACTGCAATGCTGTCTGGCTCTCTCTCCACACACAACGGCAACGGAGGAGGCAACATCAACATGACTGTCCGCCGTGTCACATCTGCCAAGGGCTGGGGAGAGGTATACACACACACACACATTTTATCTCCCTTGTTTCTGAGAGAACACAGGAAGGATATTGACTGACATGTGTCTGTGTTTCACTCTGTCTGCTTGTGATTTTCTCTCTTGTGTGTGTAGTTGGAGTTTGGTGCAGGGGACATACTGGGACCTCTATTTGGGATGAAGGTGTTCCGTAACCTGACTCCACGATGGTGAGTGGCCAATCGAGGGGAGAGGATATGGCCCTCTTTACACTACAACAATTATAATGCTAGTCATTTCCCTCTCTCTTTTTGTTAGTTTCCTGACGGCTCAGTGTGGTATGCAGTTCTCTCCCCGTGGCGTGCGTCCCAGCTGTTCTTTAATGACAGCACGTCACCTAGACCAGAACACTATAGGTTACCTGCAATGGCGATGGGGACCGCACAGCGCTATGACCACTAGTGTGGTTCGAGACACCAAGACCAGCCACTTCACCCTGGCCCTGCAGGTACACTGCACACACATACACACAGAGACACACACAGGCAGATACACACACACACACATACAGTGAGGGAAAAAAGTATTTGATCCCCTGCTGATTTTGTACGTTTGCCCACTGACAAAGAAATGATCAGTCTATAATTTTAATGGTAGGTTTATTTGAACAGTGAGAGACAGAATAACAACAACAAAATTCAGAAAAACGCATGTAAATTTTTTTTGAAATTGATTAGCATTTTAATGAGGGAAATAAGTATTTGACCCCCTCTCAATCAGAAAGATTTCTGGCTCCCGGGTGTCTTTTATACAGGTAACGAGCTGAGATTAGGAGCACACTCTTAAAGGGAGTGCTCCTAATCTCAGCTTGTTACCTGTATAAAAGACACCTGTCCACAGAAGCAATCAATCAATCAGATTCCAAACTCTCCACCATGGCCAAGACCAAAGAGCTCTCCAAGGATGTCAGGGACAAGATTGTAGACCTACACAAGGCTGGAATGGGCTACAAGACCATCGCCAAGCAGCTTGGTGTGATTATTCGCAAATGGAAGAAACACAAAAGAACTGTCAATCTCCCTCGGCCTGGGGCTCCATGCAAGATCTCACCTCGTGGAGTTGCAATGATCATGAGAACGGTGAGGAATCAGCCCAGAACTACACGGGAGGATCTTGTCAATGATCTCAAGGCAGCTGGGACCATAGTCGCCAAGAAAACAATTGGTAACACACTACGCCGTGAAGGACTGAAATCCTGCAGCGCCCGCAAGGTCCCCCTGCTCAAGAAAGCACATATACAGGGCCGTCTGAAGTTTGCCAATGAACATCTGAATGATTCAGAGGAGAACTGGGTGAAAGTGGTGGTCAGATGAGACCAAAATGGAGCTCTTTGGCATCAACTCAACTCACCGTGTTTGGAGGAGGAGGAATGCTGCCTATGACCCCAAGAACACCATCCCCACCGTCAAACATGGAGGTGGAAACATTATGCCTTGGGGGTGTTTTTCTGCTAAGGGGACAGGACAACTTCACCGCATCAAAGGGACGATGGACGGGGCCATGTACCATCAAATCTTGGGTGAGAACCTCCTTCCCTCAGCCAGGGCATTGAAAATGGGTCGTGGATGGGTATTCCAGCATGACAATGACCCAAAACACACGGCCAAGGCAACAAAGAAGTGGCTCAAGAAGAAGCACATTAAGGTCCTGGAGTGGCCTAGCCAGTCTCCAGACCTTAATCCCATAGAAAATCTGTGGAGGGAGCTGAAGATTCGAGTTGCCAAACGTCAGCCTCGAAACAGAGGAGTGGAACAAAATCCCTCCTGAGATGTGTGCAAACCTGGTGGCCAACTACAAGAAACGTCTGACCTCTGTGATTGCCAACATGGGTTTTTCCACCAAGTACTAAGTCATGTTTTGCAGAGGGGTCAAATACTTATTTCCCTCATTAAAATGCAAATCAATTTATAACGTTTTTGACATGAGTTTTTCTGGATTTATTTGTTGTTATTCTGTCTCTCACTGTTCAAATAAACCTACCATTAAAATTATAGACTGATTATGTCTTTGTTAGTGGGCAAACGTACAAAATCAGCAGGAGATCAAATACTTTTTTCCCTCACTGTACATACAGTGCATTCGGAAAGTATGCAGATCCCTTCACTTTTTCCACATTTTGTTACGTTACAGCCTTATTTTAAAATTGATTAAATACACAATACAATAATGACAAAGCGAAAACAGGTTTTTATAATTTTTTGCAAATGTATAAAAAAATAAAATAAAACAAACTTATTTACATAAGTATTCAGACCCTTTGCTATGGGACTCGAAATTGAGCTCAGGTGCATCCTGTTTCCATTGATCATCCTTGAGATGTTTCTACAACTTGATTGGAGTCCACCTGTGGTAAATTCAATTGATTGGACATGATTTGGAAAGGCACACACCTGTCTATATAAGGTCCCACAGTTGACAGTGCATGTCAGAGTAAAAACCAAGCCATGAGCTCGAAGGAATTGTCCGTGGAGCTCCGAGACAGGATTTCGTCGAGGCACAGATCTGGGGAAGGGTACAAAAAAATTCTGCAGCATTGAAGGTCCCAAGAACACAGTGGCCTCCACCACCAAGACTCTTCCTAGAGCTGGCCACCAAACTGAGCAATCGGGGGAGAAGGGCCTTGGTTAGGGAGGTGACCAAGAACCCGATGGTCACTCTGACAGAGCTCCAGAGTTCCTCTGTGGAGATGGGAGAACCTTCCAGAAGGACAACCATCTCTGCAGCACTCCACCAATCAGGCCTTTATGGTAGAGTGGCCAGACGGAAGCCACTCCTCAGTAAAAGGCACATTACAGCCCGCTTGGAGTTTGCCAAAAGGCACCTAAAGGACTCTCAGACCATTAGAAACAAGATTCTCTGGTCTGATGAAACCAAGATTGAACTCTTTGGCCTGAATGCCAAGCGTCACGTCTGGAGGAAACCAGGCACCTCTCATCACCTGGCCAATGCCATCCCTACGGTGAAGCATGGTGGTGGCAGCATCATGCTGTGTGGATGTTTTTCAGCGTCAGGGACTTGGACACTAGTCAGGATCGAGGGAAAGATGAACGGAGCAAAGTACAGAGAGATCCTTGATGAAAACCTGCTCCAGGGCGCTAAGGACCTCAGACTGGGGCGAAGGTTCGCCTTCCAACAGGACAGCGACCCTAAGCATACAGCCAAGACCACGCAGGAGTGGCTTCGGGACAAGTCTCTGAATGTCCTTGAGTGGCCCAGCCAGAGCCCAGACTTGAGCCCGATCAAACATCTCTGGAGAAGGCCTCCCAAGTGGCGCAGTTGTCTAAGGCACTGCATCGCTATAGCTGTGCAGCAACGCTCCCCATCCAACCTGACAGAGCTTGAGAGGATCTGCAGAGAAGAATGGGAGAAACTCCCCAAATACAGGTGTGCCAAGCTTCATACCCAAGAAGACTCAAGGCTGTAATCGCTGCCAAAGGTGTTTCAACAAAGTACTGAATAAAGGGTCTGAATACTTATGTAAATGTAATATTTCCTTTGTTTTTATAAATACATTTGCAAACATTTCTAAAAACCTGTTTTTGCTTTGTCATTATGAGGTGTTGTGTGTACATTGATGAGATGAATTTTTTTTTAGGCTGTAACGTAACAGAATCTGGAAAAAGTGAAGGTGTCTGAATACTTTCCAAATGCACTGTACATACATACATACATACATACATACATACATACATACATACATACACACACACGACACAAGCAGACACACACACGCAGACACACACACACACACACACACACACACACCTGTGCAACTGTGATTATGTTGAGGTGGGTGTTAGAGCTAGTAGGATGACCAACCATGTTCTTCTGTGCCCTCACTCCTCACCTTGTTTCCTCTCCCCCTCTAGCTGGGTGTCCCTCACTCCTCACCTTGTTTCCTCTCCCCCTCTAGCTGGGTGTCCCTCACTCCTCACCTTGTTTTCCTCTCCCCCTCTAGCTGGGTGTCCCTCACTCCTCACCTTGTTTCCTCTCCCCCTCTAGCTGGGTGTCCCTCACTCCTCACCTTGTTTCCTCTCCCCCTCTAGCTGGGTGTCCCTCACTCCTCACCTTGTTTCCTCTCCCCCTCTAGCTGGGGTGTCCCTCACTCCTCACCTTGTTTCCTCTCCCCCTCTAGCTGGGTGTCCCTCACTCTCACCTTGTTTCCTCTCCCCTCTAGCTGGGTGTCCCTCACTCCTCACCTTGTTTCCTCTCCCCCTCTAGCTGGGTGTCCCTCACTCCTCACCTTGTTTCCTCTCCCCCTCTAGCTGGGTGTCCCTCACTCCTCACCTTGTTTCCTCTCCCCCTCTAGCTGGGTGTCCCTCCACTCCTCACCTTGTTTCCTCTCCCCCTCTAGCTGGGTGTCCCTCACTCCTCACCTTGTTTCCTCTCCCCCTCTAGCTGGGTGTCCCTCACTCCTCACCTTGTTCCCTCTCCCCCCTCTAGCTGGGTGTCCCTCACTCCTCACCTTGTTTCCTCTCCCCCTCTAGCTGGGTGTCCCTCACTCCTCACCTTGTTTCCTCTCCCCCTCTAGCTGGGTTGTGCCTCACTCCTCACCTTGTTTCCTCTCCCCCTCTAGCTGGTGTCCCTCACTCCTCACCTTGTTTCCTCTCCCCCTCTAGCTGGGTGTCCCTCACTCCTCACCTTGTTTCCTCTCCCCCTCTAGCTGGGTGTCCTCACTCCTCACCTTGTTTCCTCCCTCCCCCTCTAGCTGGGTTGTCCCTCACTCCTCACCTGTTTCCTCTCCTCCCCCCTCTAGCGGGTGTCCCTCACTCCTCACCTTGTTCCTCTCCCCCTCTAGCTGGGTGTCCCTCACTCCTCACCTTGTTTCCTCTCCCCCTCTAGCTGGGTGTCCCTCACTCCTCACCTTGTTTCCTCTCCCCCTCTAGCTGGGTGTCCCTCACTCCTCACCTTGTTTCTCCTCTCCCCCTCTAGCTGGGTGTCCCTCACTCCTCACCTTGTTTCCTCTCCCCCTCTAGCTGGGTGTCCCTCACTCCTCACCTTGCTTCCTCTCCCCCTCTAGCTGGGTGTCCCTCACTCCTCACCTTGTTTCCTCTCCCCCTCTAGCTGGGTGTCCCTCACTCCTCACCTTGTTTCCTCTCCCCCTCTAGCTGGGTTCCCTCATGTCCCTCACTCCTCAACCTTGTTTCCTCTCCCCCTCTAGCCTGGGTGTCCCTCACTCCTCACTTGTTTCCTCTCCCCCTCTAGCCGGGTGTCCCTCACTCCTCACCTTGTTTCCTCTCCCCCCTCTAGCCGGGTGTCCCTCACTCCTCACCTTGTTTCCTCTCCCCCTCTAGCCGGGTGTCCCTCACTCCTCACCTGTTTCCTTCTCCCCCTCTAGCTGGGTGTCCCTCACTCCTCACCTTGTTTCCTCTCCCCCTCTAGCTGGGTGTCCCTCACTCCTCAACCTTGTTTCCTCTCCCCCTCTAGCTGGGTGTCCCTCACTCCTCACCTTGTTTCCTCTCCCCACTCTAGCTGGGTGTCCCTCACTCCTCACCTTGTTTCCTCTCCCCCCTCTAGCTGGGTGTCCCTCACTCCTCACCTTGTTTCCTCTCCCCCTCTAGCTGGGTGTCCCTCACTCCTCACCTTGCTTCCTCTCCCCCTCTAGCTGGGTGTCCCTCACTCCTCACCTTGTTTCCTCTCCCCCTCTAGCTGGGTGTCCCTCACTCCTCACCTTGTTTCCTCTCCCCCTCTAGCTGGGTGTCCCTCACTCCTCACCTTGTTTCCTCTCCCCCTCTAGCCGGGTGTCCCTCACTCCTCACCTTGTTTCCTCTCCCCCTCTAGCCGGGTGTCCCTCACTCCTCACCTTGTTACCTCTCCCCCTCTAGCCGGGTGTCCCTCACTCCTCACCTTGTTTCCTCTCCCCCTCTAGCCGGGTGTCCCTCACTCCTCACCTTGCTTCCTCTCCCCCTCTAGCTGGGTGTCCCTCACTCCTCACCTTGTTTCCTCTCCCCCTCTAGCTGGGTGTCCCTCACTCCTCACCTTGTTTCCTCTCCCCCTCTAGCTGGGTGTCCCTCACTCCTCACCTTGTTTCCTCTCCCCCTCTAGCTGGGTGTCCCTCACTCCTCACCTTGTTTCCTCTCCCCCTCTAGCTGGGTGTCCCTCATTCCTCACCTTGTTTCCTCTCCCCCTCTAGCTGGGTGTCCCTCACTCCTCACCTTGTTTCCTCTCTCCCTCTAGCTGGGTGTCCCTCACTCCTCACCTTGTTTCCTCTCCCCCTCTAGCTGGGTGTCCCTCACTCCTCACCTTGTTTCCTCTCCCCCTCTAGCTGGGTGTCCCTCACTCCTCACCTTGTTTCCTCTCCCCCTCTAGCTGGGTGTCCCTCATTCCTATCTGATGATGAGTTACCAGTACAAGTTCCAGGATGAGGACCAGACCAAGGTCAAGGGATCGATCAAGTACGTACACACACCCTATTATACTACTCAGTTTATACACTGCTCCCAATCCCCCTTTCGAGAAGGAACCCGCAAGTAAGAATTTCACTGGATTATGTATACCATGCATATCCCGTACTAATACAACTTGAAACTTGAAACTACATGTGAATACCTAAGGTGGGAGTCTGGCCCTTATTGGTGTTGTGGTGTGTGTTTTTTTCTGTGTGTCAGGACTGGTTGGTTTGGTACAGTGTTGGAGTATGGAGCAGAGAGGAAGATCAGTCGGCACAGTGTCCTGGCTGCTACTGTCAGTGTCGGAGTGCCACAAGGAGTCACCCTCAAAATCAGGTACTACAACACAAGTACAGTCTATGTGTAATACAGTGTGTATGTGCAACGTGTAATACAGTTTAGTACAGTGTATAATACAGTGTGTGTGTGTGTGCATGAGTGGCATGTCTGTCTGTGTCTTGGCTACCATATTTAGCTTTGGAAGTTCAGGTTTGCCCCAAAATCAGGTGATAGTATTATTACTTTTCATAGTACAGTATGTACTGTAACTTGTTTCCTTTTCTCCCTAGGTTGGCTCGTGCCAATCAGACCTATCTGTTCCCAGTCCACCTGACAGACCAGCTGCTGCCCAGTGCAGTGTTCTACGCCACCGTGGGGCCTCTACTAGTCTACATGGCCATACACAGACTGGTCGTTATACCATACACACGCTCCCAGAAACAACAGTGAGCTTCTCTCCTTCCCTCACTCACTCACTCACACACACACACCCTCTGCAGATTTACTTGGCAGACTAGTTATTAGACCCAGGAATAACTCACATCTTGTTCTGTCTGTCTGTTCCTGTCTTTCTCTGTCTGTCCCTGTCTGTCCCTCTCTTTCTATGTTTGTCTCTGTCTCTGTCCCTGTCTGTCCCTGTTTGTCCCTATCTGTCTGTCTGTCTCTGTCTGTTCCTGTCTGTCCCTGTCTGTTTCTGTCTTTTCATGTCTTTCACTGTCTGTCTGTCCCTGTCTGTCTCTGTCTGTCCCACAGAGATCTGGAGCTACAGAGGAAGAGCTCAGAAGTAGACATGGTCAAGAAGAAACAAGAGGCAGAGTCAGCTGTGAGGAACACCCCTACATACTACACATACAGACACACAGCATGTTTACTGTATGCTCATTGATTATCATTGAGATCATTGTATGTTCAACCCCTTCCCCCCTGTCTTTCTCCCTGACTCAGGTTCTGCTGATGCAGGAGTCTGTGAGGAGAATCATCGAGGGAGAGGAATCTAAGATGGGTGAGTAAGCACACTCACACGTATGCACGCCCACACACGCTCTTGACCAATGTCTTGACTCTTAGGAAACACTGTTTTTCAGTGAGTTGCCTTTTCAATCATTCTGACTCAGCTGTGTGTGTGTGTGTGTCCATCTTCCTGTTCCAGGTCTGATCATCCTGAATGCGTGGTATGGAAAGTTTGTGACAGACAACTGCGCGCGCCAAGAGAGAGCTCAGGTTATAGATGTTACTGTCCCTCTGCAGTGCCTGGTCAAGGACTCCAAACTCATACTCACTGAGGCATCAAAGGTAAGGATGTGTGTGTGTGTGTGTGGGGGGTGGAATTTTTCTATGACCTGTGTCTGTGTGTGTAACCAGCCCCCCCCCCCCCCCTTCCTCTGTCTGTCTGTGTGTGTGTAGGCGGGGTTGCCAGGTTTCTATGACCCATGTTTAGGAGAGGATAAGAGTCTGAAGCTGCTGTATCAGTTCAGGGGGGTGATGCACCAAGTCCTCTCAGCAGACACTGAGGCTCTACGGATACCCAAGCAGTGTAAGTATACAACCACAACACAACCACTATATAACCACAGTATAACCATAATGCTACTGTAACCACAACCATATCATAACCTGTTTACAACAAAAAACTTTCAACTCCATTACATTACACTAAGCTAAATATTCCCTGTATTTCTCAGCTCACAGAATCGATGCTGAGGCGTAGGAACCCTCTGTTACGGGAGCAACGAGGGGCAAGTGGAGACATAGACAGACAGACAGACAGACATTGACAGACATTGACAGAAGGACTGACAAGCGGAGGTCGAGAGACAAACAAAGTTAATAGAAATTCTCTTTCTCTTTCCCCATCACATTTATGAATTCAGACATGAGTTCCTCCTCTCATCTTCTCCATCCCAGTGGTGGAGGATGTGGGCAGTCCTCTCCTCTCTCGAAACCCACTAGATACCTCTCTTTTAGCCATTGTTGTTTCCACTCTGTGTGTGTGTGTGTGGTTGCGTGTGTGCGTGTGTGTGGAAAATGTACTGATATCTCCCTTTCTCCCCTCATCTCCCCAGAAAGGTGCAATATGACTCCTGGTGTACATATCAGTGAAGTCTGCTACAGTTAATATTGTACAACTAATATTATACCACTGTACTATACTAGTTGTACTAATGTTTTACACCACTAACTCATGCTAACGTTAAGGTTACAACAGAACTATGCATGAAAACGTGTTCATCAGTACCACTATACTGTGCCAGTCATTCTAATAACACATAAGGGCACACCCATAAGGGTTTCAAATAATTATGAGAATATTAACACTAGTCTATTTTTAAGGCACCCCAATAGCCAATGTGTGATTGGATCCCTGGTAGGCTTGGTTGAGTTGGTATGATTGAGATGGATGCTGGGGAAGCACTGCCTGAGCAACAGTGACGAGTAGAGAGAAAGTCCAATGATGTCATTCATATATACATCATGGTGTATATATATTATTTATATAATGTTTATGAGAAAGCCTCTGTGAGAGTAAGTTTGCTACTAAAGCATCTATGCACGTACATCTATCTATCAGTCACTGTCAATGGAAACAACAGGCAAGTGGGATGTGGTGGGACTATTGTACTTTTATGTATACATTTATTTGTTTAGACCTGGTCATATCAGATCATCAAAATGATGATGGTGATGAAGAGTATTATAATGTATTAGTCAATCCATCCTTTATGTGCCATACCTTCAGTTTCCATGGTAATATTGTTTGTCCCTGTTGTCTTGTTTATATGTTTTTATAGCCGTGTGTAATATCCTGTAATACTATAGACCAAACAGATACACACTGTTCTACTTGACACATTGACTAATTATTGACTGACAGTGTTGGTCCTTTCTGTCTCTGTCTGTGAAGGCAATATACTGTATAGGCTATTGATGAGTGACATAGTTGAACTCAAATCAGTAAATGTACTGTATGTATTTTTGTCAATGTATAGGCAAAGGTTAAAATTGTTTTTTTCAGTGGTGGAAACTGAAGAATGATATACTTTTCAACACAGTTCTGGTCCATTCCCACTGTATGCTGTCCCCTATCCTACGGTGCTGAAACCCCCAATGGAACCGCATTTACAGGTCTGTGTAGTCAGAACACGGGATCTATTCTATGTCATGTATTTGAGCAGAAAGTCACTCATCCTCTCCGGTGTTTTGCCCTAGAGCTGAGTCAGTTTGGTGGATCAGGTTATCGGGTTGTTAGCAACTGTACTTGTCGGTCTCTTCTTACCAGTTAAGATTTTGTAGACCGTATTTGTGAATGAGGTTGACTGACTCAAACACCCAACACACTTTACAGAATGAGGCAAGAACAAGCAAACATTCACCCCATTTGAGACACAACACTTTTCTTCCTCCATTAAGGATGTTTGCTCATAATGTCCCCTTCGCATGCTGTTAGCCTCCATGTTAAAGTCAGCCCTGCCACTAGTCACCCACTCATCACTGTTCTTTCAGCCACCACCCTAAGGTCCACTGTTACATTCCTGCCCTTGCCATGACCCAAACTGTCTAAAATTGATGTGTTTGGAGCTAGTGGACTATGTAGTCATGTAAAGATATAACAAATAAAAAGATGAGCCACGGACTCATGTCTTTTTTTAAAGACAAAAGCTACATTACAGTGATATCAGAGCTTGGTCCCAGATATGTTCATGCTTTTGCCTACTCTATTAGTCAAGCCAAACATTTGTTTGGCACGCCAATTCCAAAAGGAGTTGGCAAGACAGCAGAAACTGACTGGCACCCAGGATAGCGATCATTCTTGCAAGTACAGGAACAATGAAGAGACCTTGGAAGGTGGGGTTAAAATCTTCCTTAACTCTTTATTTACAATAGTTTACAATACATAGTTTCACAGAAACGGTTTGCACCAGACACCACATTCTCAGTAAGGGGTTTTCACAAAGCGGGATCAATGAGTTAGCGTTCTAACTATCCTAAATATTTTGAAACATTTAATACACCCGTTTTTTTTTTTTAAAGAAATTGTTCTAGTATGACTGACTTATCAGTAACCCATATTCATCTTCTTATTAACCATAGTTAATAACTAACCCATTGCTCTTGGTTGGTTGAAAGCCCAGCCCAGACAAGCATTCAGCAGGTGTATGTCCAACATCAGTCAGTTAGACAGTGACATCGTGATATATGGCTTACAGTGCCTTCAGAAAGTATTCACAAAAATGAAAAGCTGAAATGTCTTGAGTCAATAAGTATTCAACCCCTTGTTATAGCAAGCCTAAATAAGTTCAAGAGTAAACATTTGCTTAATAAGTCACAATAAGTTGAATGGACTCACTGAGTGCAATAAGTGTTTAACATGATTTTTGAATTACAACCTCATCTCTGTACCCCACACATACAATTTTCTGTAAGGTCCCTCAGCCAGAGTGAATTTCAAACACAGATTCAACAAAAAAGACAGGAGATTTTCCAATGCCTCGCAAAGAAGGGCACCTATTGGTAGATTGATTTTTTTATCTCCCTTTGATCATGGTGAAGTTATTAATTACACTTTGGATGGCATATCAATACACCCAGTCACTAGAAACATAGAGGCGTCCTTCCGAACTCAGTTGAGGATGGAAACCGCTCAGGAATTTCACCATGAGGCCAATGGTGATTTTAAAACAGTTACTGTGGCTATGATAGGAGAAAACTGAGGATGGATCAACAACATTGTTGATAGTTACGCCACAATACTAACCTAATTGACAGAGTGAAAAGGAAGAAGCCTGTACAGCATAAAAATATTCCAAAACATGCATCCTGTTCGCAACAAGGCACTAAAGTAATACTGCAGAAGATGTGGCAAAGCAATTACATTTTTGTCCTGAATACAAAGTGTTATGTTTGGGGCAAATCCAATACAACACATTACTGAGTACCACTCTCCATATTTTAAAGCATATTGGTGGCTACATCATGTTATGGGTATGCTTGTAATCATTAAGGACTGGGGAGTTTTTCAGGATAAAAAAGAAAACAGAATGGAGCTAAGCCTAGGCTAAATCCTAGAGGAAAACCTGGTTGTCTGCTTTCCACCAGACACTGGGAGATGAATTCACCTTTCAGCAGGACAATACCCTAAAACACAAGGCCAAATCTACACTGGAGTTGCTTACCAAGACAGTGAATGTTGAGTGGGCGAGTTACAGTTTTGACTTAAATCTACTTGACAATCTATGGTAAGACCTGAAAATGGTTGTCTAGAAATGATCAACAACCTATTTGACAGAGCTTGAAGAATTTTGAAAATAATACATGGGCAAAGGTTGTGCACTCCAGTTGTGGAAAGCTCTTAAGGGACTTACCCAGAAAGACTCACAGCTGTAATCGCCACCAAAGGTGCTTCTAGAAAGTATTGACTCGGGTGTGAATACTTATGCAAATTAAATATTTCATTTCCAATACATTTGCTAAAATGTCTAAAAACAAGTTTTCACTTTGTCATTATGGGGTATTGTGTGTAGATGGGTGAGAAAAACATATCAATTAAATCAATTTTGAATTCAGGCTGTAACACAAAATCTGGAATATGTCAAGGGGTATGAAGACTTTCTGAAGGCACTGTATATATGAAGTTGACAGAAACAACAATATGTACACATCAGCAAGCTTGGACTTGACAACTGGTGAAAACATGAATATTTGAAAAAGCTTAAATTCTGAACACAGTCAAAATGCAAAACAGCTTGAAGAAGCGGACACTTCTCCAGAAACTCCAAAATGCATTATCAAACCCCAGAGAGCCTGGTAGTGATCAGGTGAGAGATTAAACACTGATGTGCGCGAATGAGTACACCAGGAGACATGGGTAGGGTCAGGAGTTGTCCTGACCATGGAAAACTCTGGGTCCTCGTTATAGCCTACAAAACGTGTTTTGTGGTCGTGTCAGATAGTCAGGAAAAGCGCAGGAAGCCAAACACACCCCATGTATAGAGCCCTAACCCAGACTAGAGACACTTGCGCAATGGTTTTGATAATGTATTGATTGATGGCTGAATAAATCCTACATTGGCCCCATAGCTCTCTAACCTATAGGACTAACCTGAGGGGACTGAGAAGCAAGGGGCAGAGACAATGGCTGTCCAGAAACAACCCCTGGCCCCTGCTCCCTAGGGCACTTTACTTGAAGTTCCTGGGGATAGGGGCTTGTTTCTGGACTGGACCAGTGACATCACTCTACATAGCAGCGTGGGCGCTTTCGCTCACCACACACACGTTGATGCATTTTCTCCACCCAGGAATCTCTACAAAGTCACAACAATGTGTAACCATTAACCCACTGGGGTCTGTTCAGGACCATTAAACTGTTCCCGACATCGTAGTGTTTGTGAGTGGAGCTTAACTGAATGATTCTTTCCAACAGTTAAAATAAAATCCTGAACACACCCCTGACACGGCATTGCTTATAAAAACTCTAAATAAAACACTACCTGGTTCTCTTTATTGTGGAAAAATAAACTGAACTCGTCACAAAACGTAGAAGATGAAACAACTGAAATGGCTTCAGGAAACACAGCCAGGAACGTTTTTTTTATTTATTTTTTTTACAGGGAAATCATTTCCACAAAGTTTTTCTTCAGATGTTCTAACTGAAGAGGTAAAATATTTGATTGAGGAGGCCAGCGGTAGGTACAGCCCCTGGTCTAAGATAAAGAACTAACTCATTCTTCACGGGTTGCATGTTTCGTCACAATATTGTTTTAAACGTTCGTGTTGGACTGATTCCCGACTGAGCACTCTACTCAATGCATCGTCAATGAGCGCTGATGAAGATTTCATCAAAAGTGTATTACAGTGGCTTGGAAATACTATGACATTCAAATAGAGGCACATAATTAATAGAAAAAACCTGTCATAATTTTGATGTCGCCAGATTGACTTTAGTGCAGCAAAACGTTAGCTAGCTAACTAAAATTGAGGAGAGGCCACCGGATTATAGCTAGCTAACGTTAGCACTGCTAGCTATTTTTTACATACTTTGCTATCTAATGACAACATTGCATTCTGTCTAAAGTAAATTTGATGACATGATAATATGTCCTACTAAATATTTGACTACTTTAGCAATGTCATCATTTTTCCCAGGCGCTATAGTGTAATTTAGACGAAATTGTAGTTCGCCTGGTCCAGAATGACTGGGTTGATCACCACTTTAGGGCACCACTATGGCGCCGCCAGCAGAGGGCGGCTTGAGAACGTTCATAACAATGGCATGACAACCGAGTGACGGCGGTGCAACTGTCAAATACACGCACACGGTGTACAAAACATTAGGAACAGCTTCCTAATATTGAGTTGCCCCCCCCCCCCCTTGCCCTCTGAACAGCCTCAATTCGTCCGGGCCATGGACTACAAGGTGTCGAAAGCGTTCCACAGAGATACTGGCCGATGTTGACGCAACTGCTTCCCACAGTTGTGTCAAGTTGCCTGGATGTCCTTTGGGTGGTGGACCACTCTTGATGTACACGGAAAACTGTTGAGCGTAAAACCGAGCAGCGTTGCAGTTCTTGACACTCAAACCGGTGCGCCTGGCACCTACTACCATACCCAGTTCAAAGGCACTTAATTATTTTGTCTTGCCCATTCTCCCTCTGAATGGCACACATACCCAATCCATGTCTCAAAGCTTAAATATCCATCTTTAACCTGTCTCCTCTCCTTCATCAACACTGTTTGAAGTGGATTTAACAGGTGACATCAATAAGGGATCATAGCTTTCGCCTGAATTCTCCTGGTCAGTCTATGTCATGGAAAGAGCGGCTTTGTACGCTCAGTGTATGTGTGTGTAGGTTGTCTATGGCCAGCACTCACTTGATGGAGAAGTGTTGATATGAAACGCATCAAGTATATCTTTGTAGTATGGGATAATTCCTTGCTGTAGTCTAGAGCACCATTTCAAGCTCTGTCTATTGAAGGAAAAAGTTGAGCTTGTTCCGTTTATCTACACTGAACAAAAATATAAAAGCAACATGTAAAGTGTTGGTCCCATGTTTCATGAGCTGAAATAAAAGATCCCAAAAATGTTCCATACGTACAAAAAGAGTATTTCTCTAAAATGTTGTCCACAAATTTGTTTACATCCGGTTAGTGAGCATTTCTTCTTCGCCAAGATAATACATCCACCTGACAGGTGTGGCATATCAAGAAGCTGATTAAAACAGCATGATCATTACACAGGTGCACCTAAAAGGCCACTAAAATGTGCAGTTTTGTCACAACACAATGCCACAGATGTCTCAAGTTTGTGGGAGTGTGCAATTGGCATGCTGACTGCAGGAACGTCCACCAGAGCTGTTTCCAGATAATTAAAATGTTCATTTCTCTGCCAGGCCAAATGTCGTTTTAGAGAATTTGGCAGTACGTCCAACCGGCCTTACAAACACAGACCACATACATGTATGGTGTTGTGTGGGCAAGCGGTTTGCTGATGTCAACATTGTGAACAGAGTGCCCCATGGTGGCGGTGGGGTTATGGTATGGGCTGGCATAAGGTACGGACAACAAACACAATTGCATTTTTATCGATGGCAATTTGAACGCACAGCAATACCGTTACGAGGTCCTGAGGCCCATTGTCATGCCATTCATCCGCCTCGATCACCTCATATTTCAGCATGATAATGGACGGCCTCATGTCGCAAAGATCTGTACACAATTCCTGGAACCTGAAAATGTCCCAGTTCTTCCATGGCCTGCATACTCACCAGACGTCACCCATTGAGCATGTTTTGGATCCTCTGGATCGATGTGTACGACAGTGTTCCAGTTCCCGCCAATATCCAGCAACTTCGCACAGCCATTGAAGAGGAGTGGGACAACATTCCACAGGCCACAATCAACAGCCTGATCAACTCTATGCAAAGGAGATGTGTTGCGCTGCATGAGGCAAATGGTGGTCATACCAGATACTAACTGGTTCTGATCCACACTCCTACTTTTTTTTTTTTAAGGTATCTGACCAATCCCAGTCATGTGAAATTCATAGATTAGGGCCTAATGAATTTATTTCAATTGACAAATTTCCTTATATGAACTGTAACTCAGTATGTTGCGTTTATATTTTTGTTCAGTACAGAACATCATTATCTACAGACCCTCTGCTTGAGGCTTTAGACAAAGGCTTCACTCAGACAGACAGACAGACGTACCAACCCCTAGTTGAGAGGGTGGTTGGGGGCGGAGAAGGGGTTGGCAACTCACCTCACCCTTTTAACGCATGAAAAAAGTGCAAAAAGCCAACGGCCCAAAATGCACACTGTTGGGTGGCAGCTCTAAGGGCCATTCTCTGACAGTTTAAGAGTGAAGACAGGTTTCCAATGTTCATGGGAGATGGAGTCTCTATCCAGTCTGAGCCAGCCGATCAGCCAGACTAGACTACGGAGTCCAACCCTACTGGTCAACTATTGTACTACTGCTTACTACAGGCAGACAGACATTCAGTGATTGCCTTATGCACACAGAGTCTGGAAGGAAGCAGAGAGAAACCGTCATATAATAAATTTGAAATAGCACTCGGATCGGTTCAGTTTGGGGGTGTTGAAGACCTCGAGGGGCTTAGTCAATAGGGATGAGAGAAATAGGGAAAAAGGCATGGGGTAGGACTGGGGTCAGGGGGTAGAACTGGGGTCAGGACTGGGGTCAGGGGGTAGGACTGGGGTCAGAGGCAAAAGGAAAGGGGTAGCCTGGGGCATGGGTTACGGGAGCGGGTTGGGGTTAGAACCGGATGGGGCATGGTCTAAATGCAGGTGAGAGGGGTGAAGGGGTTTGCCATGGGGTCAGTCATGAAGGTGTTTGCGGGGGCCAATGCGTGAGCGGTATGAGCGGCGGGTGTCTGCCAGGCCCAGTGTGTCTCTGCAGCTCTGACACGTATACGTCTCGGGGACGTGGGACTTCCTGATCTTAGCACAGGACAGGTGGATCCACGTGTTACACTGGTTACACTCAATCATGGCCCGGCCCGCAAACGGCTTCATACAGAAACACGTCACCAGGTCCCACGAGTCATCATCTGAGCGAAAGAGAGTGGGGAAGAAACAGAGGTCCATCACTACAACATGCAATAAAACATTTACATGGGATTAACTGTCAGACTGCTACTTTAAAACAGGCAATGTCATCACAACAATGAGTTCTGTAACTTTTTTGCAGCATTTACATAACATTAACATAATTTCTTACCGGAGTCCACCATGATGTCCTCGTCCTCTCGGGAGCCATCCTCGTCTCGGAACACCACCTGTTTCCCCTGTCGGATCACCGTCCTGTTCCCAGTAAAACCCTCCACCCTCTCCACCTTCACCACGCCCTCCACCAGCCCCCGTCCCTCCCAGCACTCCCACTTCTCATTGGGCTCCTGCTTACAGGGGGAGGAGTTATTCATGTGGGAGGGGCTGGGCAGGCGGTGAGGGGACGAAGGGTGGAGGGGGATGATGAAGTCATCCTCAGGCTCGTCTTTGATTGGTCGTCCTCCCAGGGGCAGGGAGAACTGTGGCTCTGGGCTCGTTGCGTAGGCCTGTTGTGCAGAGCTCGGCTCGCCGGCCTGGCTCTCCCGGTTCTTCCTCCTCTTCTTCAGTTTGTCGGCTTTCCTCCGGTCATCTGGGTGCAGGGAGGACGCTAGATGGCCATGCTGAGAAAGAGGAATGAATTTAGGGTTAGGGAGTATGAGAAAGGGTTAAGGTTAGAATTAGAGGTTGAAATTGTGCTAGTAGATCAAAAGCACTCCATTTACATCTTTCCTAACATGGCTGGATAGTGAGGCCCCAGGGTGGATTCCCGTGGGACGGGGTCGTTTCCTGTTCTTGTCCTGCGAGGGTATGGGGAGCCGCGGGGGGCAAGAGGAGGGGGGTTCAGGACCGGGGGTCCAGCCATCACTGTCTGCTGTACTGCCTGTACTGTTGGGGGGGCTGGAGTTACTACGCAGAGGAGAGTCCTGGAGAGGGAAAAAAATAAATGGTGATAAAAGCCTGTATGTGTTTACACAAAAGGCATCTCTTACAGAGGAGAATGGAGGTGGGCGTGAAGCTGTTGATACAATCCATTGGCCACAAACACCACACTCACACACTGATCCAATACAAATCTGAGACCATTTTGAACCAAAACAGGCATCAACAGTAACTTCACAACACTTCCACAATAATATGGAACTGCATATGTTATACATGGCCTCAGTGACACCACTACATATGGTCATAAGGATAAAAAAATCACCCTGTCTTACTCTGAGGTTCTCGGTCAGATAGACAGACACAGCACAGAGAATTAGCACAGGTCTATGGATGAGGTACAGTACGGCCCTGGTTGATCATGTCGAAGGTGCTGGTGTTGGGTCGAGCTGCTCCTCTTGCCTGAGCTGAGGGGGTCAGGGGACCCTGGTTCCATTCCACCCCCTTCCCCTGGTTGTCTCTGCCCCATCAGGGACCCTAATCTGACAGGTCTAGCTGGCAGGTGACAGCAACAGAAGCTCCATTCAGCCTGTTGGAGGACTAGGTGGTGCCATCACCAGATTGGTTAATTCTATCCCATCCTTAAAAAACTGTGAACACTACAGAGAGGCTAGGGGAAAGGGTCTAGGGGCCAAAGAAGCACAGGGCCAGGGATGAGTATGGAGAGACTTGTTGGCCCTCTTACCCTGGGAGAGGGGGCAGGGCTGTGTTAGGTGCGTGTCCCTTCAGGAGAGACAGCAGCAGATTGGCTAGCGAGGGACAAGGGGCGGGGCCCAGCAAGGAAGCTGCCAGAAGCCACGCCTCCTCCAGTTCTGTGGATCAAATAGAGCGTCAACACAACACACCACACTGGGGAGGGAGGGGATAACATCGATACAGTCAGCATGTCTAGGGTCGCATTCAGGAGGGTGCAACACTATGAACGTTTCAGATAGAAATGTAATGCTTTATAGAGCTGCCATGACTCCCACGGCTACATGCCAGACACTGCATAACCTATTTCTATCTGAGCGTTCCACAACGTTGTAGCTTACTGAACAAAACCCAGGTACTATGGTGTAACAGAACCACGACCACCCAGCAGGAAAACAAAATGCCACTTTCACTGTGACTAAGTGAATGTGATGTTGACTGTATCTACAGTTGAAGTCAGACGTTTCCATACACCTTAGCCAAATACATTTAAATTCAGTTTTTCACAATTCCTGACATTTAATCCTAGTAAAAATTCCCTGTTTTAGGTCAGTTAGGATCACCACTTTATTTTAAGAATGTGAAATGTCAGAATAATAGTAGAGATAATTATTTATTTCAGCTTTTATTTATTTCATCACATTCCCAGTGGGTCAGAAGTTTACATACACTCAATTAGTATTTGGTAGCATTGCCTTTAAATTGTTTAACTTGGGTCAAACGTTTCGGGTAGCCTTCCACAAGCTTCCCATAATAAGTTGAGTGAATTTTGGCCAATTCCTCCTGAAAAGAGCTGGTGTAACTGAGTCAGGTTTGTAGGCAACCTTGCTCGCACACACTTTTTCAGTTCTGCCCACAAATGTTCTATAGGATTGTGGTCAGGGCTTTGTGATGGCCACTCCAATACCTTGACTTTGTTGTCCTTAAGCCATTTTGCCACAACTTTGGAAGTATGCTAGGGGTCATTTTCCATTTGGAAGACCCATTTGCGATCAAGCTTTAACTTCCTGACTGATGTCTTGAGATGTTGCTTCAATATATGCACATAATTTTCCTTCCTCATGATGCCATCTATTTTGTGAAGTGCACCAGTCCCTCCTGCAGCAAAGCACCCGCACAGCATGATGCTACCACCCCCGTGCTTCACGGTTGGGATGGTGTTCTTCGTCTTGCAAGTACCCCCTTTTTCCTCCAAACATAATGATGGTCATTATGGCCAAACAGTTCTATTTTTGTTTCATCAGACCAGAGGACATTTCTCCAAAAAGTACGATCTTTGTCCCCATGTACAGTTGCAAACCGTAGTCTGGATTTTTTAATGGCGGTTTTGGAGCAGTGGCTTCTTCCTTGCTGAGCGGCCTTTCAGGTTATGTCGATATAGGACTCGTTTTACTGTGGATATAGATACTTTTGTACCCGTTTCCTCCAGCATCTTCACAAGGTCCTTTGCTGTTGTTCTGGGATTGATTTGCACTTTTCGCACCAAAGTACATTCATCTCTAGGAGACAGAACGCGTCTCCTTCCTGAGCAGTATGACGGCTGCGTGGTCCCATGGTGTTTATACTTGTGTACTATTGTTTGTACAGATGAACGTGGTACCTTCAGGTGTTTGGAAATTGCTCTCAAGGATGAACCAGACTTGTGGAGGTCTACACATTTTTTTCTGAGATCTTGGCTGATTTCTTTTGATTTTCCCATGATGTCAAGCAAAGAGGCACCGAGTTTGAAGGTAGGCCTTGAAATACATCCACAGGTACACCTCCAATTGACTCAAATGATGTCAGTTAGCCTATCAGAAGCTTCTAAAGCCATGACATCATTTTCTGGAATTTTCCAAGCTGTTTAAAGGCACAGTCAACTTAGTGTATGTAAACTTCTGACCCACTGGAATTGTGATACAGTAAATTCTAAGTGAAATAATCTGTCTGTAAACAATTGTTGAAAAATTATTGTGTCATGCACAAAGTAGATGTCCTAACCGACTTGCCAAAACTATAGTTTGTTAACAAGAAATGTGTGGAGTGGTTGAAAAACGAGTTTTAATGACTCCAACCTAAGTGTATGTAAACTTCCGACTTCAACTGTATATTCACAACACTAGTTAGGGGCGGCGGGTTAATACACACAGGGAAAGGAGGGCAGTGGGACTCCAACACACACAACAGTTGTGTAGAAAATAGCAAAAGCTCGGAGCGGCCGCTCCATGATCCACAAACTACACACACATCTGAGTCCTACCCCTGGTGTCTGGCCACTAACCTCAAAACAATGCGTTACACACACCTCAAAATATAACCAGTCAGTGTTGTATAGTAAGTCCCAGTTCTGCCTAACTATTCAGAGCAAAGAACCCAGACTGTCAACTACAAGGGGCTGTTGATAAAAGGCATACACGCATGTACGCACAAACACCAACTATGACTGGGTTTCCTTTACTCACCTCCTGGGGATATGGGATATAGCCTGCATATGCCAACACAAAGGTGCAGAACTTATTGAAGTCCTCCACCGTCCGCCTCCTGTATGGTGGACTCAGCCCCTGTAACACATGAACAACACATCAGCAGGAGGTCGAAGCCAGCGAAGACATTCTGAATTAAAGAAACATTTTGTGAGGTTTGCTCTCTTAGCTGTGGTTCACTTGTAAAATACATTGATAAAATGTTGCATATGAACGGACTAAAAGGGAATATAATCATGACATTTAAGTGCTAGCACGCTGACTGAAATTATACACGAGATTGGGTTTAAACCAGTGCCATTTGACAGCAGCTTGCTAACAATCTTGCAAACATGGAGCTAACTAGCTACAGTAACGTTTTAGCTAACGTAGCTACAAATGCCAACACTCAGGACTACGATTGGGCGCTAACGTTTACGTTGAAGTTTTGATTTAGTTGGAAACACGAGAAGGACAGTTACTAACTAACTAATGTTACCTGCCTAGTAAAATACCTTAACGGCGGTGCCAAGATGGCGATTGTTGCTGAGCTAGATAACGTTTGCGTGGACAGAGGTAGCTAGCCAGCTAACGTTAGCTAACCTTGGCTAAACGTTAACTAACATTGGCTAAGCTTACCTAACACCGTTTTTAGGTTACGTTAGCGAGATATGCAACCTCATGTTTTCATCATAACCACAGCTTTGTCATTACGTTAAAGACGACAATTTAAATGTACACTACTGTAAGACGACTGAAACGGTACGGTAGCTAACTAGGTAGCTAAGTGTTAACTAACAGTTTGCGCCTGTGATTCTATTCATACAGATAAAACAAGATCAACCGTAAAACAATAAATAGCTAGTTAACGTTATACTGTAACGTTACGACTGAAGCGTGACAGCGGCTGTTTAAAGTAAAGACAAGCTAAGGTAGCTAACTGCCTAGTTAGTTAACGGTATGATCACAAGCACTAACTGTTTTCAGCAGTCGTATATACCATTATAGTTAACTAGCTATCAATAGTTAGCTAAATAGCTAATATTAGCTAAGCGCTAGCATTGTGATAACTGGCTAGTTAAAATATTTAGCTAAGTTACCTCTGATCCAAATGCATGGTGTGACGATGAAGTAACGTTGTCCATCTTTAAAAAGTGATACTTTCTGTATACTGTAGCTAGCTAAGTTATCTAAATAATATAATTAGCTAGCAATAAACGAAGGTATGCAGCAGTGCACAACTAATTATGGTGTCGACGTTCAAAACATTGCACTGTGGTTAGCTAGCTAACTGTTAGCTTACGTTATTCTAGCAACAAACACACTGCAGATAATGTTTCACCTTGGCCTAGACCCCGGGATATACTTGGTAATACATTCTAGTTATAAGACAAATGTTGCCGTATCTCTTGAACAAAAACGGTTTCGCCTAGCTAGCAGCCAGCTACATCGAGTCAATCTCGTCACGCTACGCTGTCAGTGTCCCGGTTGCTAGTAACTGCCTGACTGTCACTCAAACTCTGACTTGTCAAAGAGGAAAGGACCCGGTCGAGAGAACCGCCTCCTCAAAAAAAGAAAGAGGGAGCTGAAGTGGGGTTTAAAGGGATATTTCACTCAAAAATAATATTTTAGTAGCTATTCTGTTTTGTTAATAAGTCCACTGTTGATATTATCCCAAAAATTCTGTTTGGATTTGGATTGGAGAGAGGGGAGGAGAGATAGTATAGGGAACCATCAATACAAATATATACAGTAGGCCTACTAGTGATCAACATTAGCAGCAGCACAAAGTATAGCAAGCCAAGTTGCCTAATAAGTAAAGTGCTCTGTGCATTCTTAGATCCTCTCGTCAAGAACATATCAACAATGTGCTGAAAAAAATACAAAAAACATCATCACCTTTATCAACAACATATTACCATCGTCATCATTTACATTTTTGTCATTTAGCAGACAATCTTATCCAGAGCGACATACAGGAGCAATTATGGTTAAGCGCCTTGCTCAAGGGCACATCAACAGGTTTTTCACCTAGTCGGCTCAGGGATTTGAACCAGCCACCTTTTGGTTAGTGGTCCAACGCTCTTAACCGCTAGGCTACCTGCCACCCATCATCATCATCCCTAGGAAACCTCATTCTCTTCCCTCTATTCAAAAGGGCAATGGCCATAGGTGTGAAGGAGTGCTTGTACCTGTTAGTCTTAACAGTGGGGAATCTAAACCCAGAGCCAGAGGGTAGGACCTGGAACTCATGGTGTAGGGCAGTGTTTCCCAAACTCGGTCCTCAGGACCTCAAGGGGTGCATTTGGTTTTTGCCCTGCTGGACTCCCGTGATCTTACTGCCCACGTTCACTATTCTAGCTAGTGCATTTTTAGCTTTGACACTAAGGTTGCCGTACCAGCAAATCAAAGAGAATGTTAAGACAGACTCTATGTACGACTTATATAAAATAGAGTCATCAAGGTCCTGTCTACCTGGAACTTTGTCAGTTTCCTGACACAAAAAAGGCATTGCTGACCCTTCTTACACAACATGTCAGTGTTACGCTTGAAGTTCAATTAATTATCAATCATTGTGCCCAAATATTTGAAGTTGTCTACAGTGTCTACCACCTGGCCCTTGATGATAGTGTTCTGAGGGGTAAGAAGTTGACTCACATTACATTTACATTTTAGTCATTTAGCAGACGCTCTTATCCAGAGCGACTTACAGTTAGTGAATACATTTTTTTTTTTTTATACTGGCCCCCCGTGGGAATCGAACCCACAACCCTGGCGTTGCAAACGCTATGCTCTATCAACTGAGCTACATCCCTGCCGGCCATTCCCTCCCCTACCCTGGACGACGCTGGGCCAATTGTGCGCCGCCCATGAGTCTCCCGGTCGCGGCCGGCTGCGACAGAGCCTGGATTCGAACCAGGATCTCTAGTGGCACAGTTAGCACTGCGATGCAGTGCCTTAGACCACTGCGCCACTCAGGATAATGGCTCATATCAACACCATCATCACAGAAACCCTGAACCCACTCCAATTTGCATACCGCCCCAACAGACCCACAGATGACACAATCTCTACTGCACTCCACACTGCCCTTTAGTACCTGGAGAAAAGGAACACCTATGTTAGAATGCTGTTCATAGACTACAGCTCAGTGTTCAACACCATATTGACCTCCAAGCTCATCACCAAGCTAAGGTCCCTGGGACTGAACACCTCCCTCTGCAACTGGCCGTGCACAACTCCAAAACCATTATCACGTTTGCCGATGACACGACGGTGGTGGGCCTGATCACCAATGATGATGATTCCGCCTATAGGGATGAGGTCAAAGACCTGGCAGTGTGGTGCCAGGATAACAACCTCTCCCTCAACGTGGGCATGACAAAGGAGCTTAACGTGGACTACAGGAAACTGAGGGCTGAACACGCCCCCATTCACATCGACGGGGCTGTAGTGGAGCGGGTCGAGAACTTCAAGTTCCTCTGTGTCCACATCGCTAAGGACCTATGATGGTCTAAACACACCAACACAGTCGTGAAGAGGGTACGACAACGCCTCTTCCCCCTCAGGAGGTTGGAAAGATTTCGCATGGGCCCTCAGATCCTCAAAAGTTTCTACAGCTGCACTATTGAGAGCATCTTGACTGGCTGCCTCACCGCTTGGAATGGAGTCCAGTGTGTGTGCATATAGTCAAAAAGTGTCAATGCAGATAGTCCGGGTAGCTATTTGGTTAATAGCTACCCGACTGCAAGGCGCTACAGAGAGTAGTGCGTACGGCCCAGTACATCACTGGGGTCAAACTCTCTGCCTTCCAGGACCTCTATACCAGGCGGTGTCAGAGGAATGCCCTAAAAATTGCAAAGGCTCCAGCCACCCAAGTCATAGATGAGTTCTCCGGAAGTATGACTTAGGACAACATGACTTGCACACCGTATTGAGATACTCCTAATTTTTCCTGATCTAGATGGGGATATAAAACTAAGGATATAAGATAGAGGCCAGCGTATAGTATAATCTTTTTATGGCCTTGATGTTTACTTGAGTGATTGAAGTAATTGAAGATGCAATCATGGCTCTGTATAATACTGTGCGTTGCCGTGAATTAGTTTTGGAGACTGTGATAAGACCCCTGATGGCATGGCTTGTGGGAAATGTATGGGTGTCTGAGATTGCAGACAATCTGACATTTTCATAATAGTAATATTTCTCATAAAAACTACAAGAGATGCAATTAATCTCTCTTCAACCAGGAAAGACTGGCATGCTGCTCTGTTTTCTAGATCTTTCTTTGCTGCACTAATCTGTTATTATGCGAGTCGTCCAGCTATGTTGTTATCAGTGGCGGTCAGTGCCGTTTATGATGAGGACAAAAACAATTTTTATGAGCATGGCCTTATTTCTATTACAGTATATTGGATGACTGTCATTCATATTCCATTCACCCAGTTCAAATGTAACATCACTACGTTTAGGCTACTACGTGATACTAACATTTTCCTTATACCCATCATGAGGTTGTTACAATCAAGCCTATGAATGAAAGTTTACAACGTAGATGCACACAGGTCGAGAGAAAATATTGAGGTGACAGACAGTGGCACATGGACAGCGACACATTCAATACCGCCTTGCACACTCTTGCCTGCATCTAGCTGATCTAGGGTGTAGAAGAATGGCGCTGGAGGGGATGTCTGCTGTTTTATGGACTCTTAACCAACCGTGCTATTTTGTTTGTTTTTTCACATTGTTTGTAACTTATTTTGTACATAATGTTGCTGCTACCGTCTCTTATGACCGAAAAGAGCTTCTGGACATCAGAACAGCGATTCTCACCTTGAACTGGACTTATCATTTTTATTTAATGAGTCGGACGAGAGGGATTTGCTCCAGACACCCGACAGGGCCCTCATCCCCGTCATTCGCAGTAGAAAGAAAAGGAGATATCGCGGAAGGAGATCGGGGTGCCTGGTAAGGAGCCGGCGATGAGTGGCTAATCTGCCTTTGCCATCGATACTATTGGCCAATGTACAATTGCTTGATAATAAAGTGGACGAGCTACAAGCACGTATACTCACGTCTGTAGCCATGAAGTGCTTTGAAAGGCTGGTCATGGCTCACATCAACACCATTATCCCAGAAACCCTAGACCCACTCCAATTTGCATTCCGCCCCAACAGATCCACAGATAATGCAATCTCTATTGCACTCCACACTGCCCTTTCACACCTGGACAAAAGGAACACCTACGTGTCTGTGACTTAGGTGGCTGGAGTCTTTGACACTTTTTAGGGCATTCCTCTGACACCACCTGGTATAGAGGTCCTGGAAGGCAGAGAGTTTGACCCCAGTGATGTACTGGGCCGTACGCGCTACTCTCTGTAGCGCCTTGCAGTCGGATAGCTATTAACCAAATAGCTACCCGGACTATCTGCATTGACACTTTTTGACTATATGCACACACACTGGACTGGACTCGACCCACACACACACACAACACGTACACATAGGCACACATTCGCAACACACACACTTCCACACTCATCACATACGTTGCTGCTACTGTCTATTATCTATCCTGTTGCCTAGTCACTTTACCCCTACTTATATGTACATTTATCTACCTCAATTTCCTTGTACCCCTGCACATTGACTCAGTATTGATACCCCACGTATATAGCCAAGCTATCATTGCTCATTGTGTATTTATTCCTCACATTCAGTATGTGTATATGTGTGTGTGTAGTAGGGGCAGAGGGAGAAGCTGACTGTCTGTGTCCACTGACCAACATTTGTGCTGATGTGATGTCTTAGGGGTGGAGAAACGGGAGGCGAGGAGAGCCGAGAGAGAGGAGACGTCGAGGCGATAGTCGAGAGAGGCGAGGGAGAGTGAGCCGAGAGAGCAGAGAGGACGAGAGAGAGAGGTACGAGAGCAGAGAGAGAGACGAGAGAGAGAGAGATGAGGAGAGATGCGAGAGAGAGACGAGGCAGAGAGCCTAGCTCCGCTATGGTCAGATAGCGCGTTGCGATCTCTCATATCTTCTACCCTCTCTAATCTTCTCGTCTCTCTCTCCTCTCATCTCTCTCTCTCTCTATCTCTCGTCTCTCTCTCTCTCTCTGCACGATTTGTGTGTGTATTCTGAATAACAGTCGCTAGGAGCAGTGTGTGTGTTTTCTATATAACCCACACAGGAAGGGGGTGTTACCATGCAGTGGAGCGTGAGTGTCAGAGAGACCAGACGCAGCAGCTGAACAGAGAGAGAGCAAGAGAGCGAGCCAGCCAGCCAGAGAATAGAGTAAGAGAGAGAGGTGGAAGACTGCTCTTTCGTTTTCTGCCTGGGTATTAAAAGGTACAGTCTCTTCGGTTGTGTTTTTCAACGAGGCAGATTGTGCTATCATAGAGAATACTGATAAATGATGTCTGTTTGTATCTGAGACTGGGTGTCCATTCTCAGTACAGTAGATGAGTCAGCAGTTTCTGCTTGTACCTGTGATTAACAAAAAGCAAGACAGCATTACATAGACACTGTGAGGTCAAATTCCTGCACACTGTTATTCTTATTCCTCTAAAAGAAAATGTTTAGTTTGCTCATAGACCTGTGTTTTTTTGCCAGTTTGGTTAAATTACTCTTTTGGCCTGAGGTGATCTCTGGCTACCGATCTGCCCTGACGTTCTGTATCATGGTTGGTTCTCATTTGGAGGAAGTGTACCATAAAAGGTGAACGATTTCTGACCAAATGAAAATCTATTCAGTCTTCCATCTTCACTACCCTCCATTTCAATGCAGGGTCCCATTGTTGGTAAAGTAGGGGTATAGCTTTAAAACACTAAAGTGCATTATGGATAACGTAGTATGTTATCTTTAGTTTTTGACACAATCATTTTGGTTTTAATATTTCTGCTAATTGAATACATTTTAGTTACACTGTTTATACAATCCGCATATTAATTTATATAATTGATTCTTGACATAACTCACTCTAATATATCTACTGCTGTACATATAATTCTTAGTATATCTTGTGTAAATTCATCCGGTGTATATACTGTACGTATAGATTGCATTTGGATTACTGTTACAGTGCTATTTGGGTTATTAATTGGATTCAGTCAGCAGACAGGGTATTAAGTCATCCTTTCTGGGGCTGACTGGATGCAATGGACCTGACCATTTTGATTCATCGGAATGGAGCACTGATAATGCTGGATTGGGATTTATAAAGCACTTTTCCTAAACACTCAAAGCAGGGCTGAGGGTGTCACACGGCATCAATTGCTTATTTTGTGTGGAATTTTCATTGTTGGACATAAAAGACTGTAAAAACATCAGGAAATCAACTCCAAGTGATTTTTATTTAAGAAATCTGTCCCCAAGTATTCCCACGCATAATAGAGGCACGTTATCGTATACAAACGTAAGCAAGATTTGAAATGATTATGTTTTAGTCAAACATTATACCTGTTTGGGCTTCTTGCGGTCAATTTGCAGTCTACAAATTATTTGTAATTATGATCCTGACCCACTATCATCCGCTGAAGAAAAAGTCGGCCTGCGGCTGAATCTAATTTAGTTAATGATCCCTGGTCTAAGCGGTGTGCTGCTCTCCTGTTCTTCAGCTCCATTAGTGTGAGAACTGTACAGATAAAAATAAATGCTTGACGTCAGTTTGCCTATGTTTTCAGACCAGTGCAGATGAGAGAGAGAGATGAGGAAATGACATGACATGTCGTTTTCCTGGAACTAGCCTTTGGAGGCTTTTGAGTGGTATTCAATGTAGTATCACAATGGTCTTCAGCGCAAACACGTAATAGTAAATTACAAACAGGAATATAATTGTATATATATATATCTTAAATTAACGTGTTTTAATGAATTTGATGATATAATCGTCAAACCCATTCAAAAGATTAGGGGACAGGACCCGGAAGTATGACTTAGGACGACATGACTTGCACACCGTATTGAAATACTCTTAATTTTTCCTGATCTAGATGGGGATATAAAACTAAGGATATAAGATAGAGGCCATAGAGAAAGATAGTATAGGAGGCCAGCGTATAGTATAATCTTTTTATGGCCTTGATGTTTACTTGAGTGATTGAAGTAATTGAAGATGCAATCATGGCTCTGTATAATACTGTGCGTTGCCGTGAATTAGTTTTGGACTTGGGGACTGTGATAAGACCCCTGATGGCATGTCTTTAAGTCATTTATCAGACGCTCTTATCCAGAGCGACTTACATGAGCAATTAGGGTTAAGTGCCTTGCTTAAGGGCACATCGACAGATTTTTCACCTAGCCGGCTCGGGGATTAGAACCACAATCTAGCCTATGAATGAAAGTTTACAACATAGCTGCACACAGGTCGAGAGAAAATATTGAGGTGACAGACAGTGGCACATGGACAGCGACACATTCAATACCGCCTTGCACACTCTTGCCTGCATCTAGCTGATCTAGGGTGTAGAAGAATGGCGCTGGAGGGGATGGCTGCTGTTTTATGGACTCTTAACCAACCGTGCTATTTTGTTTGTTTTTTCACATTGTTTGTAACTTATTTTGTACATAATGTTGCTACTACCGTCTCTTATGACCGAAAAGAGCTTCTGGACATCAGAACAGTGATTCTCACCTTGAACTGGACGAATAATTTTTATTTAATGAGTCGGACGAGAGGGATTTGCTCCAGACACCCGACAGGGCCCTCATCCCCGTCATTCGCAGTAGAAAGAAAATGAGATATCGCGGAAGGAGATCGGGGTGCCTGGTAAGGAGCCGGCGACGAGTGGCTAATCTGCCTTTGCCATCGATACTATTGGCCAATGTACAATTGCTTGATAATAAAGTGGACGAGCTACAAGCACGTATACTCACGTCTGTAGCCATGAAGTGCTTTGAAAGGCTGGTCACGGCTCACATCAACACCATTATCCCAGAAACCCTAGACCCACTCCAATTTGCATTCCGCCCCAACAGATCCACAGATAATGCAATCTCTATTGCGCTCCACACTGCCCTTTCACACCTGGACAAAAGGAACACCCTACATGAGAATGCTATTCATTGACTACAGCGCATCGTTCAACAGCATAGTGCCCTCAAAGCTCATCACTAAGCTAAGGACCCTGGGACTAAACACCTCCCTATGCAACTGGATCCTGGACTTCCTGAAGGGTCGCCCCCAGGTGGTAAGGGTAGGTAACAACACATCCACCACGCTGATCCTCAACACCCGGGCCCCTCAGGGGTGCGTACTCAGTCCCCTCCTGTACTCCCTGTTCACTCATGACTGCATGGCCAGGCATGATTCCAACACCATCATTAAGTTTTCCAACGACACAACAGTGGTAGGCCTGATCACCGACAACGATGAGACAGCCTATAGGGAGGTCAGAGACCTGGCCATGTGGTGCCAGGACAACAACCTTTCCCTTAACGTGATCAAGACAAAGGAGATGATTGTGGACTACAGGAAAAAGAAGAGGACTGAGCACGACCCCATTCTCATCGACGGGGCTGTAGTGGAGCAGGTTAAGAGTTTGACGTTCCTTGGTATCCACATCACCAACAAACTAACATGGTCCAAGCACACCAAGACAGTCGTGAAGAGGGCACGACAAAACCTATTCCTCCTAAGGAGACTGAAAAGATTTGGCATGGGTCCTCAGATCCTCAAAAGGTTCTACAGCTGCACCATCGAGAGCGTCCTGACTGGTTGCATCACTGCCTGGTATGGCAACTGCTCGGCCTCCGACCGCAAGGCACTACAGAGGGTAGTGCGTTCGGCCCAGTACATCACTGGGGCCAAGCTTCCTGCCATCCAGGACCTCTATACCAGGCGGTGTCAAAGGAAGGCCCTAAAAATTGTCAAAGACTCCAGCCACCCTAGTCATAGACTCTTCTCTCTGCTACCGCACAGCAAGCAGTACCGGAGTGCCAAGTCTAGGTCCAAGAGGCTTCTAAACAGATTCTACCCACATTTACATTTTACATTTAAGTCATTTAGCAGACGCTCTTATCCAGAGCAACTTACAAATTGGTGCATTCAACTTAGGATAGCCAGTGGGACAACCACATCTTGATCACAGTAAGTCCACTTCTTCAAAGAAGCATACCCCCAAGCCATAAGACTCCTGAACATCTAATCAAATGGCTACCCAGACTATTTGCATTATCCCCCCCTCCCCCCCCCCCTTCATTGCAAAACAGTGTGTTTTAATCAATTATTTGGTGACGTGAATATATTTACTATAGTTTTATCTAAAAATGTTTTACCATTTTTATAAAATTCACTGAGGAGGATGGTCCTCCTCTGAGGAGTCTCCACTGGTGGATGAGTTTGGTGCGTGGTACTCTGTCTTCTGCTCTGCATCTCAATGGCATCTGAGTCTTTACATACACTGTCACTGATACTCAGGGTGCGCCTCAATAGTCTAAAGTGGTTTCCTTTCATCTGCACTGGAACATGAGGAGAGGACACCACTTTACACTATTGAGATGCACTCTAGTTGTGTAAAGCCATGGTATGATACATCAGTGTCCCCAAGTAAACTTTACTCCTAAACCATATGTCCAACTCCTACATCCCACTCCCTTCCCCATACACCCACAATCTATTCACTACATAGAATGTGCAGTGTACCGTACTTGTAGAAGAATGACAGCACAGTGTTTTCCTGTGCGAACCTCTGTCCAGTGAGACCTGCCAGGGCCTAACTCAAAGCCCTCTATTCAAAGGACTATGCACAAACTGATCGCAACATAAAAGTTGCCCAGTGATGGGTACCCAGGCAACCGCTCGTTCTGTGCCAGGGGCATCTGCAAAGAAGTGGCATACATTCACTGTAGAGGTGAGAGTGAGAGTGAGAGTGAGAGTGAGAGTGAGAGTGAGAGTGTGCGAGAGTGAGAGAGTGAGAGAGTGAGAGAGTGAGAGAGTGAGAGAGAGAGAGAGAGAGAGAGAGAGAGAGAGAGAGAGAGAGAGAGAGAACTACTACCTTACCCCGATGCTGATCTGCTCACTCATGAGCGATAACAACCAGTGGACTACTGAGGCGCACCCTGAGTATCAGTGACAGTGTATGTAAAGACTCAGATGCCCATTGAGATGCAGAGGAGAAGACAGAGTACCACGCCCCAAACTCATTCACCAGTGAACGCTCCTCAGAGGAGGAAGGGAAGGACCATTTAACACTTAAAAAGTTCTCCTTTTTAGATAAAACTGTACTAAATATACAGTGGGGGAAAAAAGTATTTAGTCAGCCACCAATTGTGCAAGTTCTCCCACTTAAAAAGATGAGAGAGGCCTGTAATTTTCATCATAGGTACACGTCAACTATGACAGACAAATTGAGAAAAGAAATTCCAGAAAATCACATTGTAGGATTTTTAATGAATTTATTTGCAAATTATGGTGGAAAATAAGTATTTGGTCACCTACAAACAAGCAAGATTTCTGTCTCTCACAGACCTGTAACTTCTTCTTTAAGAGGCTCCTCTGTCCTCCACTCGTTACCTGTATTAATGGCACCTGTTTGAACTTGTTATCAGTATAAAAGACACCTGTCCACAACCTCAAACAGTCACACTCCAAACTCCACTATGGCCAAGACCAAAGAGCTGTCAAAGGACACCAGAAACAAAATTGTAGACCTGCACCAGGCTGGGAAGACTGAATCTGCAATAGGTAAGCAGCTTGGTTTGAAGAAATCAACTGTGGGAGCAATTATTAGGAAATGGAAGACATACAAGACCACTGATAATCTCCCTCGAACTGGGGCTCCACGCAAGATCTCACCCCGTGGGGTCAAAATGATCACAAGAACGGTGAGCAAAAATCCCAGAACCACACGGGGGGACCTAGTGAATGACCTGCAGAGAGCTGGGACCAAAGTAACAAAGCCTACCATCAGTAACACACTACGCCGCCAGGGACTCAAATCCTGCAGTGCCAGACGTGTCCCCCTGCTTAAGCCAGTACATGTCCAGGCCCGTCTGAAGTTTGCTAGAGTGCATTTGGATGATCCAGAAGAGGATTGGGAGAATGTCATATGGTCAGATGAAACCAAAATAGAACTTTTTGGTAAAAACTCAACTCGTCGTGTTTGGAGGACAAAGAATGCTGAGTTGCATCCAAAGAACACCATACCTACTGTGAAGCATGGGGGTGGAAACATCATGCTTTGGGGCTGTTTTTCTGCAAAGGGACCAGGACGACTGATCCGTGTAAAGGAAAGAATGAATGGGGCCATGTATCGTGAGATTTTGAGTGAAAACCTCCTTCCATCAGCAAGGGCATTGAAGATTAAACGTGTCTGGGTCTTTCAGCATGACAATGATCCCAAACACACCGCCCGGGCAACGAAGGAGTGGCTTCGTAAGAAGCATTTCAAGGTCCTGGAGTGGCCTAGCCAGTCTCCAGATCTCAACCCCATAGAAAATCTTTGGAGGGAGTTGAAAGTCTGTGTTGCCCAGCGACAGCCCCAAAACATCACTGCTCTAGAGGAGATCTGCTTGGAGGAATGGGCCAAAATACCAACAACAGTGTGTGAAAACCTTGTGAAGACTTACAGAAAACGTTTGACCTGTGTCATTGCCAACAAAGGGTATATAACAAAGTATTGAGAAACTTTTGTTGTTGACCAAATACTTATTTTCCATCATAATTTGCAAATAAATTCATTAAAAATCCTACAATGTGATTTTCTGGAGAAATAAAATCTCATTTTGTCTGTCATAGTTGACGTGTACCTATGATGAAAATTACAGGCCTCTCTCATCTTTTTAAGTGGGTGAACTTGCACAATTGGTGGCTGACTAAATACTTTTTCCCCCCACTGTATTCACATGTCAACAAATCATTGATTAAAACACACTGTTTTGCAATGAAGGTCTACATTAGCCTCAACAGCACTCTGTAGGGTAGCACCATGGTGTAGCCGGAGGACTGCTAGCTTCCGTCCTCCTCTTGGTACATTGACTTTAATACAAAACCTAGGAGGTTCTTGGTTCTCACCCCCTTCCATAGACTTACTCAGTAATTATGACAACTTCCAGAGGACGTCCTCCAACCTATCAGAGCCCTTGCAGCATGAACTGACATGTTGTCCACCCAATCAAAGGATCAGAGAATGAATCTAGTACTGAAAGCATAAGCTACAGCTAGCTAGCACTGAAGTGCATAAAATGCGGTGAGTAGTTGACTCAAAGAGAGAGAAAGACAATAGCGGAACAGTTTTGAACAAATTAATTAAGCAAGAGATTTCGTAATTTCTTTTCAGTTTCACTTAGCTAGCAAAAGCAGCTAGGTAGTTTAGGCTACTCAAAACACCCGGCTCAAACAGAGGAATGCTATGTTAGCTAGCTGGCTATGACTATCCAACACAACACTGGAATTCTTCCAAGTCAAGGTGAGCTTTTGGTTTTATTAATTTATTTTCACCGGGGCCTGCCGGTGTAACCGCTATACAGCTTAATGACTGTAACGTTACTGCATGATTGTAGGGGATTTACTAAAGCATTAGTTATATTAGTTATGTTGACTAGGACGTTACTTTAGCTAATATGGTGACAACAATGTAGGCTGTGTTTAGCGGTTAGGATATGGTTTGGCTTGAAAATGTTTTTTCGCCTGGTCACATACTGCTGATGTGTTGTGCATTGAAGTCCACAAACGAAGGGAAAGGTGAGTGAACTGTGTTTACGTGTGATCAGGGGTGTATTAATTCTGCCGACTCTGAAAAACGTTTCTTAAACGGAAGCAAACTAAATAAAACGGGGATAAACATACCTGGTCCAATAGAAACTCTCGTTTGCAACTGTTGGAATAATGATTACACCCTAGATCACCTCAACATTTTCTCTCAAACTGTGTGCAGCTACGTTGTAAACTTTCATTCCTAGGCTAGGTTGTAACAACCTTATGATGACTATAGGGAAAATGAGAGTATCACGTAGTAGCCTAAACCTATCGATGTTACATTTGAGCTATGTGAATGGAATATGAATGGCAGTCCTCCAATATGCTGTAATAGAAATAAGGCCATGCTCATAAAAAAATAAATAAAAGTCCTCCCTCATCATAAAGGGCACTGACTGCCACTGATAACAACAGAGCTGGACGACTCACATCATGACAAAGTTGTTGTGAAGATAGGGAGGGGTATCTCTTATAAAAAGATGTTCTGCGTTATGACACAAATCAACTGTACTAGTTGTTCTGGTCTTGTCACATCTTGATTAATGTCTGGTAATATGGTCAAGTGCAGCAAAGAAAGATCTAGAAAACAGAGCAGCATGCCTTGCCATTAACTACACATACAGAACTAACATCAACAACATGCATGCCAGTCTTTCCTGGTTGAGGGCTGATGAGAGATTAACTGCATCTCTTCTAGTTTTTATGAGAAATATTACTATGATGAAAATGTCAGATTGTCTGCATAATCAAATAACATTCAGCTCAGACATCCATACATTTCCCACAAGACATGCAATCAAGGGTCACAAAGTCCAAAACTAATTCACGGCAAAGCACAGTATTATACAGAGCCATGATTTCATCTTCAATTACTCAAGAAAACATCAAAATTACCTTTAAAAAACGGATTAAACTACATCTTTGAGGTGACTGTTTGGGGACAAACAAACACATGCACACACAGAAACACATTGTTTTAGTTGTATTTATTGTTTAATTTTGTTGTTGTATTTTCTGTATATCGTTGTATTTAAAATTTGTGTGACTGTCCTTGACAGTGATCAGTGTTTTGTTACTTGTTATGTTTTTCTGTGGATCCCAGGAAGAGTAGCTACTGCTTCTGAAAAAGCTAATGGGGATCTAAATAAACAAATAACCTTTAAGGCGTGAGAGGTTTATTGACAAATACTACTAGCACTGCGAATGCCAAAACATGACATAGGATCATGTTTTTGGGCAACCAAAAGGAGATGCGAACAATGGGATTCCTCCACAGATACCGAGGACCTATGTTTTTCACCAGACAATACCCCATAGGGCGGCGCACAATTGGCCCAGCGTCGTCTGGGTTTGGCCGGTGTAGGCCGTCATTGTAAGTAAGAATTTGTTCTTAACTGACTTGCCTAGTTAAATAAAGGTTAAATAAATAAATATAAATAAAAACAGTGGAAACTAAACTGCTGACATCAATAAATTACAAACCTGCCGTGCTGGATGTACTCCGTATCGAACTCCAGGTTATGAAAGAGAGCCTTGAGATGAGTGATGACAAAATTTGGACACTGGAGAAGGATCTGCTAAAACCCACAAGGCACAGACATCAGTTCAATGTCAGGTTTTGATTGACATTTGGCTAAGTTGTCAACTAATTTCAACATGAAATCAATAAAACATTTCCTGCAATGCTACACATTTTGCCAAAGGATGGAGGCAAATGTTTGCAGTTTTTAATATGATAACTGATGATCAATGGGCCCCACCCCGGTCAGTAATTCGACCATGCTTATTACAAGTTTAGATAGCTGGCTGCTAGACTAATTTACCAATCTACAAATATTTTGCTGACATGGGCTAATTGAGTAACTGCTGATGCACAAACAAATTTCGAAATTACACCTTGTGTATTCTATTATTCTAACTCTGAACAGAAAGTTGAGACCCCAACTGAGTTACAAAAAATTGCTCCGCAAGCCTACAAAAGGGGGGCCGCCAGTTGCCCATCCCTGGTCTAGACCAATCTTTGTCTTCAATATTGACGATAAATGATACGGCTGAGAGACCTAGAACCTCTACATGTCAACCTAAATCAAACTGGCTTTATACAAAATGGACAAACTCAAGATAATATAAGAAGAACCCTCCATATCATGAATACTATAGACATAGAAAAGAAGAGCCCCTTTCTAGTAAGCCTCAATGCGGAAAAAGCATTTGACTCTGTAAACTGGAACTTCCTCTTTGCCACAATGGGAAAATGTGGCTTCAACGAATCAAAAAGTATCATCTGAACGCTATACTCCAAATCTCATGCTAAAGTGGAAGTAAATGGTCAACTATCAAAGAAAATAAACCTAGAAAGGAGCGCAAGACAAGGTTGCCTACTATCCCCACTCCTCTTTGCCCTCTACATCAAATCATCAAACCACTTGCCCAATCCACAAAACACAAAAAAACAAAGTAGTGTGTGTGTGTGTGTGTGTGTGTGTGTGTGTGTGTGTGTGTGTGTTTGTGTGTAGTTATGTAATATGTGCATTGTGTATTTCCCGGTCATGCAGACACTGCCTCCACAGCCACCCCACCTACTCCAGTCATGGCCAGGAATCTACTGAAGAACCCAGCTGGGGAAGGTATAAAAACACATCTGTCTGTCTGTCTGTAGGGATAGGTGAAAGCACATTTCCAATAGGCATTCTCCAAAGTGCTTTCAGAGGAGTGACTCTCGTTTGACTGTTGAGATGGTGTCGGCAGAGAGTGACTCAACACTTTCCTCCCAGAGCAGATGGAATTCTGGGAGCTGACAGAGAATGGCGGGAGCCAATGGCAGGTGGAAGAGATGCCGGGAGACTGTGGCCACGGTTTCGGTGACGATGGAGTGACCAAATACTTCAGTACCTCCTTTGAGTGAGTAACTGAACAAGGTCACAAAGTCAGGCCTGTGTATAGAATGCGGTCCAATTCACAATCCTCCTCTCTGAAGTGTGCAATCGTTCATGGATAAAAAAGGATTGGAGTAGTGTAGGAAATATGGTGGAAACTCCCTTACACCAATCAATGCTTTTAAAACCATTGTGGGGTGTGACCAATGCAAACTTGGGATAGGTAGAAAATGAGAAGTTGGGAATGCAGTCACAGGGTTCATCTTTACCACCAACATAGTGACTGTGAGTGTGCAAGTATGTGTCTGTGGATGTTTGTGTGTGGGAGTGTGAGAACAACTCTCTCCCTCTCTGTCTATGTTGTCTCTGTTTCTGTGTTAGGCTGTGTCTGAAGAGGCAGGTGGTTGACCTACTGGCAGAGGGCTATGCTCCTGATGACCTCGATGCCCAGCCAGCTGTCACTGTGGAAGACTGGTGAGTCACACACACAAAGCACACAGGCATGCACATATCGTTTAGGACAGCCGTTGCAGCTCAGCTAACACCGGCACCAAATGTGTGTGTGTGTGTGTGTGTAGGTACAGTGGGAGGACAGACAGTGGGTGCACCTACCAGTTGACAGTGTGTCTGTTGGATGAGAATGAGGAAATTCTTCAGGAATTTAAACCAGAATCTGTCACCCTGGACCCAGATTGTGATGACTGCTCCTGGAAACAGGTATTGTGGGAAAGCTCAAAATCGCATAATATGATCACTTCTCATATTTCTCATCACATCCATTTCTCATATTTCTCATCACATCCATTTCTCATCTTTCTCATTTCCAGGTGAACCACACTTTCTCTGACTACGGTCCTGGCCTGCGCCTCATCTCGTTTGAACACGGAGGACAGGACACCAAGTACTGGGACGGCTGGTTTGGAGTCCGAGTCACTGGGAGCTCTGTTATTGTAGAGGTCTGAGAGACGAAGGCGGCGGCAGTTATGGAGAGGAGGGGAGATTAGGAGAGAGGGGAGGGGAGGAGAGATGCAGTAGTATCCACTCAATAGCTGCTTCAGAAACGTATGGCACGAGCAAGACCTGCAAGCTTGGACCTTTAGTGCTCAATAACACTGTAGAAACCATTACAATATACATATTAAGTATTCTCCCACTGTAGCTTTATAAACAAAGTTATGAATGAGTTATAAATGACTAACACATATACTACTAAATGAGATGGGGTGAGTGAGGGTCTAACTGCTACCTATGGACAGATACACTATAGGGTTCAGTTTGTCCTGGTGGTCTTATCATCAGCTAGGTTTATTTTCTAGGTTAAGTGGTGTGTAAGGGCTCATTGCAGAGTGATCACTGATCATACATACAGAGGTTGTTGTAACCAATGAATAGAATGGTTGTAACATCTCACAGATTAGGATTGTAACGTATGCATTATTTTGATCAGAACTGTATCTAATCCACACTAACCAGGTTCACTTATCAGGTTCTTCACAATGCAAATGAGAGCCGCATTGACCAAATAAAATAAAAACAATCAATCAAGGATTTCACTAGTCTGTTCTTGTATTACATTTTCATCTGAAAATCCATGTAGGTAAATCATATAAGGCAATCACTGCGAGTCTTAATTTGCCATAAGATGTACTTCCATTGTAAAGGGAGTTTTTGCAATCTTATCTCTCCCATTCTCTCCTTTCAGGGTCAACACTGTCACACACACAAATAAATACGCTCGCACAGAATCTGTCTGTGGAACACCTTGGTATGTATGCGTGCATCTATGTCTCTACGTGTATGTGTTTGCGTGACATGGAGTCATTATTGGAGAAGAGAGGCATTTATAGAGCTCTGTAAAGCTGTCATCAAGAAGGGCAATAGAGGAGATGAGAGGTTACAGAGAGAGGGATGAGAACTGATTCCACTGGCAGACACTACAGAGAAAGAAAGATTATTCTCATGACACCCATGTCTGACCAACCCCAGAGACAGCTGTCTGTATGGAGTGAGATCATGCACATCTATAGCAGGGGAGAGGAGAGATAGAGGAGAGACAGGATGGGAAGAGAGAGGAGAGACAGGGGATGGGTGTTTTTGATGTGATGACACACACGTTTCTGGCTGTCAATCGCAGTCCTGTTATGATCACTTCTTGGGGCAGGTATTGTTTCAGTCTTAGACAAGTCAAATAAGTCTGTTATCAACCTCATTAAGGAGTCTTCAAGTGTTACAGTTATGTGTAGATAAACCCAAGATCTAGAGACCTACATCTGGATCAAGTTAAATTGGTTGGAATCAAACACCCAGTGCACATTTTAAAATCACAAGGTTTATTAAAACCATGCTTTAAAAACAGAACAAAACAGAATGACAGTGTATCAAACACTAACCAACATAACGATAAAGGTGGTAAGCCTAGTTAAGATTGTCACAATAACAGTGTGGAAGTGGACAGATAAAACTAGGATGCAGTAATATGGACTGAACTGTATCAGAGCGACATATTAGCCTGTTTTATACAGAGTGCTGTACAGTCATTGTAGTACACAAACAATAGGCTACTCTAAAACAACAAAGTGTGTTTTAGGCAATACGGGGTGAAGGGTGATGTCTAGCTTTGGCTTGGACTGAAAACAGTGGTAGCACCTCAGATCCATAACATCCATACTTATAAATAGATTACACCAATGGGTGGGCATATCTAGTCCTGTAGGGGCGCAATCTGTGTAGGCTTTCGTTCCAGCCCTGCAATACACCTGGTTTAAATGATTGTGGTCTACATTAAAGACAACTTGAATAGTTGAATTCAGATACTGGAGCTGGCCTGGTACAAAAGCCTGGCCATCTCATGTGGCCCTCTGGGACTGGAACTGGACACCTCTTCATTACACGGTCCTTCTCTGTATATAGAATATGGGTGATGTCTTTCCTTGTTACATTCACAATGCAACGTATGTCCACTTATGACAACATATGGAGCATGCTGATAACCAATGGCTATATCCCCAGTGTTTGAGTCTGTCTGCGTGTTATTGTCCTTACACGCCATGCACTAAAACTGTGTTTTGACTGGCGCAGTGACAACATTACACATACCAGAAAACACAACATTTTCAGCACATGAGGACAGGAAAGGCAACAGTGATCCACATTATTCTTATTTCTATGGTGATCACTACATAACAGGACCAAGATGGACATGTCCCTCGGCTAAATCATTCACAGTTAGTGCTAAGCGATTAGTGCTTTTTGAGGTCGGTTCGGTTTTGGTTCGATTATTTAAAAAATAATCACGGTTTTGGATTTCGGTTTTGATTATTTGGGTTGAATGCTGTAACACAGAATAAAACAATTTATAAAAGTCCCATGATGGTAGTGACTGCTCATTACTGCTTATCACTTATTAACCATTTATTCACTTTACTTTAATAAAATATTTTTATGACCGCTGAATACCAACGATCAATCACTTAGATAATTTATTTTCAGGTAGAGATACCTCGGGAAGTAAAAGCTGCTCTCTATATCCCCTCATGATTGTGTATTCTTCTGCCTCTTCTGTAGCAGGTGTAAAAGAAAGACCTGACAAGTAGATGCGCAATGGATTATGGTGATTGTAGTTACTTACCATGTTTTATGCACTAAACTATGTCGAATATTGGCCTGTTGGAAACTACAATTCCCTACTAAATCGCACAGTTCAAGCTGAATCTGATTTATCTCTAGAGAAACTGTGCAATGTGCGCATTGTGCTCACAGAAAAAAACAGAACGAAATGGAATTCAAATAATTGAACCCAAGTAGGTCAATTTGTTGTTTAAAAACCATAAAATAACAGACACTTCGGGCTAATCGCTCAGCACTATTCACAGTTCAACGTGTCTGTATGATATGTTAGAAATACAATTGTTTTACTGGTTGAGACTGTAGTTGAACTGTGGGACAGGGCTGCTGGAGGTTAGGGTTTATGGTCCTGGGGGGCCGTGGGGAGGTTGTCAGTGCGCCAGTCACTCTCCCTGGGACTGCATCTGCTTACAAAAGGCCTCAAACTGCTGCTGCTCCAGCTCTGTCATCACCTTATTCAGGGCGTAGATCTAAAATACACACACACAACAATGAAGATCAGCCAACTAGCAGTAGCATCATAAAGCAGGGGGAAAATATGTGTGTAGGCTAACTGGCTAATTATTGTAGATTATCCTTATCACTGAAACACGTCATTTGACTTCTCTGCAGAAGCTTGAGCAGTTTGAACTAATTCGCCCACCCATTGAATTGCAGCCAGTCAGCCACCACTGAGTACTGTCGAATGACATGTTTGACAGACTGGTCAGTCTTTTTCCACTTTAGCCAACTCTTGTCATTTAGCTAGTTTGAAAGATACTGCCATCCAAGCAAGCCAATGTTGTGTGACTTTACCTCTGCCCGCTGTCGTTGTTTCTCTTCCTGCTGGGCAGATTTCTGCTTGGCCCTGTCGCCGCGAGTAGGAGTAGAGTTCAACTTCGGCTTGTCTTTGCGACAGGCGGGCTCCATGGTTACTCACTGACAGCCACCAGACAGCACAAGGACTCGATCAACTCGATCTGAAGTAAGATTGAAAGCATAATCAAAGTAATCATGTGAAAAAATAACTAATGGACAGTGCGTTCAACAATTCATACTACTGTGTCCACAAAAAAATACACGGTAAGCTTATAATTTTTGCTACCTAACCTAGCTAAATTTGCTAATGTAGCTAGCATTCCACTTCTAACGTTAGCAGCTGCGTTAACCAGAGAGCACTTAAACTTGCCAGCTAGCTAGCCACAGCTTTAGCACAAAAACATAAACACAGACAATCAAATTACGTTTCTTTGAAAGGTATCTGGTATTAAAAACACTCACGTTCAATAAGATCTCAGATTGTCAACACAGACAGTGCATACAACAACAGTCGGCTGTTCAAAACACTGAGGTAAAAAACAGCTGTTTGGAAGGAAACCGTGTGCAACCAGAAAATAACCCCGGAATGGTTCACAGTTATAGGACGTACCAACATTCTGTTCCTACCTGAGATAACTTGAACGGAAATAACAGCTAACGGCCAAATAACGTCTGTCTTTAGTTTTATTTATTCACATTAGAATAACCACTTAACGTGTCCAGTTTTTAATCACATAAATCTAATGACCTGTTGCAGTTTACATCAGAGGACAAAGTCTATACAGACGACTAATAATCGACCAAAAGATGTCGCTCTTGCCCCACTGATAAAACTGTAATTTACAGTATTGAACATAACAGAAATATCCCATTTTATAGGTTACCTCATAGTTACAGTTTTTTACAATCACTTTGGCACTAATTTCAGAACCTTGACGTCATTTTTCAAAACTATAGACACAAAACTCACAACCAATGATCAAAATGCACATTTTTCAAAACTCTAACACTTTTTTCAATTGCTTGGATACAATACACATAAAACTAAGATCATTTGTTCATTTAACAAAAATCACCTGTTCAATATGACACAACTTAACAGCAAAGTACTACTATTTCAAAAGGCAATTCACACATTAAATTTCAGATGAGTGTCTATTCATTTCATTACAATTATCCAACTATCAATTGATACAACTGCTCAAAATGATAAGTACTGTAACTGTTGCATTACTCTTAATGCATAGTTGTATGGAAACAGACAAACAATATTCCATGTTTAGATCATAAAAGTTTCAAGATAACGAGATTCATTGTCACCAATTAGCGTGGAGCATGAACCAATTAGACTACATTATCTATGGATGTAATATTTCATCATCATTCTTTATCAGACACCGTTTCTATGGTCCCATGTACCACCTTTTCAGACTATTTACAGTATTGACAGTACTGCACTGTATGGATGCAGGCCCTTGTAATTGCTTGTTCAATTCTGCCAACTCGTTACTGATGATTGAGTTCACATTGTGGAACGAGTATATAAAGAATTGATTGGGATCCACTTGCAACAACATAGCGATATGTACTGTAACATGGAGCCGGCAGGTGATCCAGGTCACAATAGAGGTCAAGCAGTGGTGGGAGGAAGACGTGTTGGTCAAAGGAATGGCAGGGGACAAGCACCCCTTCTGAGAGGTGGTCGTGGGCCTCGTTTGAGAGGTGTGGGGGAACGTGGTAGAGGACAAGGCCACGGACCAAGACAGTGGCAGCAGCAGCAAAGAGTGTCCAATGAAATCTGAGCAATAGTTGTAGACCATGTCATAAATCATGGCATAACAATGACTGAGGCGGCTACAATGATACAACCAAACCTCAGAAGGTCAACCGTGGCCTCAATAATCAGAACTTTCCGCAATGAGAACCGGTAAGTCGTCAGCATGCACTAAACATTATGCTACTCTCAATTGTCAAATGACTGCATACCAATGTGTATCACAGAGTAGGTGATGTGACCAAGTGTCTTCTTACTGTTATGTTCCCTGTAGAATTGAGACTAGGCCAAATAGGGGAGGCAGAGGCAAAATTCTGACTGACCAACAAGAGCAGGCTGTGGTCGATTTGGTTCGGGCCAGAAATGATATTCGCCATACAGAAATTCGCCAGCATATCTTGGACAATGAAGACATGTTTAACAATGTGGTATCCATAAGTTTGCCGACTATTGCACGCATGCTGAAAAGGCACCAGGTGTCTTTAAAACAACTATACCGTGTGCCTTTTGAAAGAAATGCAGACAGAGTGAAGCAAATGAGGACTGAGTATGTTCAGGTATGTTCAGTTTCAAGATGGCTGTTGTAATACAATTCCCTAATAATTCTACATTGTACAGTAATCAGTAAATCTCTTTCCAAAATGTATTTTTAGAGGGTGATGGAGCTGGATGCTGATGACAACCATCACAAATTCATATATTTGGATGAGGCAGGCTTTAACCTGGCCAAGACAAGGAGGAGAGGTCGGAATTTCATTGGCCAGCGGGCAACCATCCAAGTACCTGGACAACGTGGGGCCAACATTACCATGTGTGCGGCTATATCAGAAGATGGTGTGGTGGGACGCAGACCTCGTATTGGATCATGTAATGCAGCTCTCCTTGTAACCTTCCTTGACGAGCTCGATCAGGTCTGTAGAGCTGATGGCATCACCTATGTCAGTGTGTGGGATAATGTCAGGTTCCACCATGCTCATATGGTGCAAGCATGGTTTCAGGCCCATGCACAATTTACCACCCTGTATTTACCCCCATACTCTCCTTTCCTTAACCCGATTGAGGAATTTTTCTCCACATGGAGATGGAAGGTTTATGATAGGCGCCCTCATGAACAAGTCACTCTTCTCCAGGCCATGGATGACGCATGCAATGACATCACGGCAGACCAGTGTCAGGCCTGGATTCGCCATGCCCGAAAACATCCATTGTGATGTAGATGAGAACCTGTGGCCAAATCCACAAGACAGAGTTGATAAAAATGTAGAAGTACAGTAATCACTCCTATGTTTTGCTTTTTACAGTACAAGCAAGCAAGTTGAGGAACACTACATTTGATGTTTTACAGTACCGTATTGTTTTTCATCAATATATTTCAGATTTTGTTCAATGATTCCACTGTGTCTGTAGTATTCTCTCTACTACTGCAGTACTTTTACAGGGATGTATTTACATGTAGTACCATAATGAAACATGTATCACCTATTTTGTACTACAATATTTAATGATTGTACGAACAATGACACAGTGAAACTATCAGTTGCTTGTGTGTGGGTGATCTAAATTAACGTTTCATTGGTATTTCACAAAAAAAAAGTTTTTTGAACCAATGATTGTGCAAGTGCAAGATTTCTTTAAAGATATGAATGCACAATGCAATGTTTTGAACATTGGACAGCCTGTGTTACAAGTGATGACCGTTTTGAGTTTTGTGTCTAGAGTTTTGAAAAATGACGTCAAGGTTCTGAAATTAGTGCCAAAGTGATTGTAAAAAACTGTAATTTGGGTGAAAGTGGATGTCACATGATGTAGAGATAATACATATATATATATACAGTGAGGGAAAAAAGTATTTGATCCCCTGCTGATTTTGTAAGTTTTCCCACTGACAAAGACATGATCAGTCTATAATTTTAATGGTAGGTTTATTTGAACAGTGAGAGACAGAATAACAACAACAAAATCCAGAAAAACGCATGTCAAAAATGTTATAAATTGATTTGCATTTTATTGAGGGAAATAAGCATTTGACCCCTCTGCAAAACATGACTTAGTACTTGGTGGCAAAACCCTTGTTGGCAATCACAGAGGTCAGACATTTCTTGTAGTTGGCCACCAGGTTTGCACACATCTCAGGAGGGATTTTGTCCCACTCCTCTTTGCAGATCTTCTCCAAGTCATTAAGGTTTTGAGGCTGACGTTTGGCAACTCGAACATTCAGCTCCCTCCACAGATTTTCTATGGGATTAAGGTCTGGAGACTGGCTAGGCCACTCCAGGACCTTAATGTGCTTCTTCTTGAGCCACTCCTTTGTTGCCTTGGCCGTGTGTTTTGGGTCACTGTCATGCTGGAATACCCATCCACGACCCATTTTCAATGCCCTGGCTGAGGGAAGGAGGTTCTCACCCAAGATTTGACGGTACATGGCCCCGTCCATCGTCCCTTTGATGCGGTGAAGTTGTCCTGTCCCCTTAGCAGAAAAACACCCCCAAAGCATAATGTTTCCACCTCCATGTTTGACGGTGGGGATGGTGTTCTTGGGGTCATAGGCAGCATTCCTCCTCTTCCAAACACGGCGAGTTGAATTGATGCCAAAGAGCTCCATTTTGGTCTCATCTGACCACAACACTTTCACCCAGTTCTCCTCTGAATCATTCAGATGTTCATTGGCAAACTTCAGACAGCCCTGTATATGTGCTTTCTTGAGCAGGGGGACCTTGCGGGCGCTGCAGGATTTCAGTCCTTCACGGCGTAGTGTGTTACCAATTGTTTTCTTGGTGACTATGGTCCCAGCTGCCTTGAGATCATTGACAAGATCCTCCCGTGTAGTTCTGGGCTGATTCCTCACCGTTCTCATGATCATTGTAACTCCACGAGGTGAGATCTTGCATGGAGCCCCAGGCCGAGGGAGATTGACAGTTCTTTTGTGTTTCTTCCATTTGCGAATAATCGCACCAACTGTTGTCACCTTCTCACCAAGCTGCTTGGCAATGGTCTTGTAGCCCATTCCAGCCTTGTGTAGGTCTACAATCTTGTCCCTGACATCCTTGGAGAGCTCTTTAGTCTTTGCCATGGTGGAGAGTTTGGAATCTGATTGATTGATTGCTTCTGTGGACAGGTGTCTTTTATACAGTTAACAAACTGAGATTAGGAACACTCCCTTTAAGAGTGTGCTCCTAATCTCAGCTCGTTACCTGTATAAAAGACACCTGGGAGCCAGAAATCTTTCTGATTGAGAGGGGGTCAAATACTTATTTCCCTCATTAAAATGCAAATCAATTTATAACATTTTTGACATGCGTTTTTCTGGATTTTTTTGTTGTTATTCTGTCTCTCACTG